GTCGCCAGCCTGATTGGTTTGAAGCGTGTGCTGATGTTCTTGCACCTATGCTGGATAGCCGCAATGCCTTACATCGCAAATGGCTCGCCTCTGGTTCTGACGCTGACAGGCGTCGCTTTGTCGAGGCTCGTGGCAAGTGCAGAACTGCCGTGCGTAACGCAAAGAGTGAGTGGATTGGACGTAAAGCTAATGTGGTTGAGTCAAGTCGGTTTAGTGGCAAGCACGCATGGTCTGCAATCCGTGATATACAGAAGTGCTATTCGGGATTATCACCTATCTCCATCCCATCCATCCGTGGCAGTGACGGAGTTATCTGTAGCTCCCAGGAGGGGCAAGAGAAATGCTGGCTGCAGCATTTTGCCCGTCTATTGAACGTTCGCAGCACCTTCGATGCTACCATCTTTGACCACATTGAGCAGCGTGAAGTTGATGAGTCACTCGGCCAACTTCCCTCGCTAGAGGACCTCACTATGGCTATACGCCAGCTGGCTAATTGCAAGGCTCCTGGCTCATCTGGAATTGCACCTGAACTGCTTAAAGCTGGTGGTACACCATTGCTTGAGGCTCTGCTTGATGTTATTCACACTGCATGGACCAACGGAACGGTTCCCCAGGATTGGCGGGATGCCCAACTCGTCCCGATTCCCAAAAAGGGTGACTTGACCAACTGCAACAACTGGCGCGGCATTGCCCTCCTAGATGTCGCTGGCAAGGTTTGTGGCCGTCTCATTCAGGACCGTCTCCAACTTGTCGCGGAACAAGAACTTCCAGAATCCCAGTGTGGCTTTCGCCCTGGTCGCGGCTGCGCTGATGCCATCTTTTCCATTCGCCAGCTCATCGAGAAATCGTACGAGCACCGTCAGAAGCTGTTCTGTGTCTTCGTAGACCTGAAGAAAGCATATGATTCCGTACCACGCCAAGCACTCTGGCTAGCATTGGGGAGGCTAGGCATTCCTGAAGGGCTCCTCAATCTAATCCAATCGTTCCACGAGAGCATGCAGGCAGCTGTGCGCGTCGGTGCCAGCACTACCGAGCCGTTTGCGGTCAACAATGGCCTCCGTCAAGGCTGTGTGATGGCCCCAGTACTTTTTAATCTGTACTTCGGTGTTGTGCTTGAGCGGTGGGCACAAATGATGCAGGACAGCGACCATCCACCTGGCATCCCCATCCAATTTAGCATCAATGGCAACCTTTTCTCAAAGCCCGCTCGCCAGTCTACTGCCGCAATCATCAACGACATTGAGTACGCAGATGACGCGGTCTTGCTCGCTGAAGACCGCCCTGGTGCTGAGAAGTGCCTTGAAACATTCTGCACGGTTGCCTCTTCCTTTGGCCTCTGCGTCAACGCTGCTAAAACGAAATTTCTCGTGGCAGGTAGCCAAGTCAACATGCCTGATAGAGCCGATATGAACGTCAACGGTGATACTGTGGAGCACGTTCCATCCTTCATTTATCTGGGGTCCGTCGTGACACCGGATGCCCGCTCCTCTACTGACGTCAGTCGCCGCATAGCTGAGGCTTCCAAAGCCTTTGGAGCTCTTCTTCCAGTCTTGTCGGATCGCTCGCTGTCATTAGTCAGTAAGCGAAAGCTATACGTGGCCTGTGTCTTGTCCATTTTGCTGTACGGCAGTGAGTGCTGGACGCCCTTGAAAGCTGATAGTAGACGTTTGGATGCCTTTCATCATCGCTGCATCCGCACAATATTAGCCATCCCTCGCAGTCAGCAGCAATCCGATCGCATCACGTCTGTGCAGTTACGTCGTCACTGGGGTGACCCAGTGCCACTCTCTGTTAAGATGCGCCATCGTCGTTTAGAGTGGCTTGGTCATGTGGCTCGGATGTCGGAGGACCGTGTCCCATTGCAGCTGTTGTTTGGTCGTTTGTTGGCTGCGCGCCCCTTCTGCGGTCCCAGGCGTAGGTGGAGAGACGTTGTGGCTACTGACACGAAGTCCATTCCAAACTGGTTTGATTGCGCACAAGACCGGTCAGCTTGGCGAGAGCAGGTTCTGGTTTTTCAGCCTCCTCGGGCAGTAGAGAAATCCGTACTCTGCTCATCTTGCAACCGGGCTTTCTCTCGTCCTCAAGACAAGGCACGGCACAAGTGTTTGGCTGAGCGCCAACTTCCCGTCCACCAACAGCGTGGTTCAGCACAGTGCGTCAGTTGCTGCCGATGGTTCCGTAGTAAGGGTGGGCTTGCAGTTCATCGCTGCCAGCCTGCACTCCCTGAACATGCAGATACGGCATTGACGGCGTCTCTCGCTAGTTGCTGCTTCCAGCATTGTCAACGCTGCAATCGCTGCTTCAAGTCCCGGGCTGGTTTTAACCGCCATAAACCGTGGAAAACGTCTTGCTGCAGCCGATAGGGAATCACTGCCGCTGATCTGCATGCATTGCCCGAAACGTTTCCGACGACAGCAAGATTTGACGAGGCACCAGAAGTCCTGCCAATGACGGTGCACTCCAAACTCTGGCCCCCTCCGGGGGTGACATTGCCCAATGGGCAGTCATGCTATAGTAGTAGTAGTGTGTGTGTGTGTGTGTGTGTGTGTGTGTGCATGTGCATTTATGTTTTATTTTTACAATGATCACAGCTTACATGCATATTATACGTATACATGTACAGGCAAACGTTTTTTAGAACACGGAGGCTCCACTGCATGCATGCAGCATTATGATCAGTCACCACCACTACACAAAAGCTGCACAGGCGAAGACAAAAAAAATGCATACATGTAGTGGGCCCAGGGCATAGTACAGTCATGTACTAGTGGTAGTGTCTACTATTAATATTTTAGTACTAATCTTGTAATCTTAGTACTAGTGATCGTGAGGCTTTTTGCCCTCAATCCCATGGCCTCATGCTCAGCCGACCCGACCCGAGGTCTGGACGGGACATGAAACGCACCAAAAAGAAAGAAGAAGAAAGATGAAAGGAGTGACAGGTACATGATACGAAATGTTTGGAGCATGTTTGTGTGTTACTGCTGGTCCTTTCCGGTATCCCAGCATTTAAAGGGGAAGTTAAGGCAAAAATTAAAATTTCACCAGTTGTAGTCTTCGGGGTGCTGAGTCGAATGATCGTGGTCCGAGGAAGCTGAAACGCTCCCTTCCTACTTGAATCCCAATCGAACTCGCGCACTTCCACCGAAACTGGGTGACTGCGCCCTACGAGATGGGGATTTGTATGCAAAATGTCACTAAAAGCGCCATTTCGTTCTTATAAAAGCACGGATGACCGCGATTGGCCCATATGTTGTAGTCTTTTGGACGCTGAGTCGACTGGTTTTGGTCCGAAAAGGCTGCGATGCAGCGTTCGCCCCTAATTCCCAATCGAACATGGTTGAACAAGCGGTCACGTGCTCCTGCGTACACCAGTCACCTGGTCACCGTGCCTGCAGGGTACAACTTACAGCCTGTTTTGACCTTTTTTGGGTGCAGTCCTGTCACTCGAGTTGAACCTTGGTGTGAAAGTTGTCGCCTGCTGGCGTGGTGACCAGGTGATTTTGGCACCCAGGAGCACGTGACCGCTTCTTCAACCATGTTCGATTGGGAATAAAGGTGGAACGCTGCATCGCAGCCTTTTCGGACCAAAACCAGTCGACTCAGCGTCCAAAGGACTACAACATATGGGCCAATCGCGGTCATCCGTGCTTTTATAAGAACGAAATGGCGCTTTTAGTGACATTTTGCATACAAATCCCCATCTCGTAGGGCGCAGTCACCCAGTTTCGGTGGAAGTGCGCGAGTTCGATTGGGATTCAAGTAGGAAGGGAGCGTCTCAGCTTTCTCGGACCAAGACCATTCGACTCAGCACCCCGAAGACTACAACTGGTGAAATTTTAATTTTTGCCTTAACTTCCCCTTTAAATTTTTTGATTTACCCAGTCCGCCATTCATGATGCACCGTGCGATTATTATTATGATGCATGCATTTGGGGCCAGGACTCCCAGCCTGAGTCCCAGGAGTCGACTACAGTCTACATGTACATCATAGTTATAGTACATGGTCACCATACATGTAGTCGCAATCAAAACACGAATTAAAATCAGTCAACTGTCAACTTCGGCAGGAAGCGTGCTATGTGCTCAACCAGCAAAATACATGTAATTACTACAAGAATATAATCATGCAGTCGCTAGAACTACCCTCCACTCGTACTCGTACTCCGACTCCGCGGTTCGGTCTTCCGTTCCGCCATTGCCGAGCCACCGTGCTCACAGGCTCAGCAGAGACTTCTGTGTGTGTTGTGAAAATGGACCCACCACAAAGATGACTTTTTCTTTGCTACGACTCGTACGACTGAGTACGAGCGCGTTGAAATAATTTTAATTTCACAAAGTTTCGGTGTACTTTTATTTTCGGTACTTTCGGTGCCTTTTGCCCTCATACTCGAGTCATAGTCGACTAGTCATACCCAAAATATTGAGCACCTAAAATTTCTGAAAATAATAGTGTACATGTAACTACAATTAGTACAATTATTGTATTTGTACTGTTTTGTGGAACACTTGGGAAAAAACTGTACTGGCACATCATGGGTAGATCTACGTACTCTAGACACACGAATAAAACTGAGCGTAGACAGGTACACACGAACTGACTGACACTTGACAGTCTGTACACGCACTGTGACGTCTGTACATGATGTAGTACAATCATGTACGGCGATTATTTTGCCCTAGCGCCTACTGCATGCATCCCCTGCAAGCATGCAAAGGCTGCATGCATGCAGCCCTACAGACACTGAGACAGTCTACACTACTGACTGTGTGTGTTGTACACTTACACAATACAGTACTAAAACACGCACACACGCACACACACACACATCATACCGGTATCTATCTACACAGCTATCTGGCTAGACAGATCACAGACCAGTCTCCCAAAATCATGTGACTAGTACATGTATACAGTAGTCTACACTCTACACATGTACACAGACCACAGTCCGTCCAGCGTCCACTGGTCTGTCCAGCGTCAGTGGCGCGGAGCTGGTGCTGCTAGGTCAGCCGAGACTTCACGTCTTCACTTCACTTCAGTCTTCACGTCTTTAGAACGGACAGGCGCATGTTCAGTGGCCAGTGGCAGTGCTGCTTGCTTCGGCAGAGTTTGAAACCACTCAAGTCGTGAGTACAAGTAGATCATAGACATACATAATCATTGCCATTGGAGTCAGACTCATACTCATAGTCATAGGCAAAGTCTGTTCAGAGAATAGACTGATATGATACTGTCGTTTTCTATGTGATCGCATTTTCAGGATTCTGAGTTCGTCCTGTTCGCAGCGAGAGGTAGATACTGCTGAACAACTTCCTCCCTGGCCGTCGAGTGTCCATGCTGGTGTGTTTCTCAACTAAAGCATCGGTTGTTGGTCCGAAAACGATATCGTTGGCCCCTTGGCCAACCCATTTATTGTTTTAGTGTTGAGCTGACGAGAAGGGATTCGCTAGTGAATGACCGCTTTCTGACCTTGTGGGAATTTATTGAAAGGAGCCCTCGCTCAGCTGGCTGAAGATGGCATCGTCTGCTACGTTATTTGCCCTAGTCATTCTCTCGCTATGCATGAGAAGCGTGTTTGGTGAGTTCAGCGCCTAAATTTTTGGCTAGTTTTCTCTATTATTGGTTCTCTTCCGCCAAATGGGGAAGCAGCGGTTGTTGGTGTACTGGCATTCCAGAAATCCATGTCTCTTTCCCGTTCAACTGACCCGATTTGCTCTAACAGGCCAGCCGGACTGCTCCTCTGCTCTAACCTGTGATGAGTGTGTTCAGCGGCACCTTACGTGTGGCTGGTGTACTACTTTGGTGAGTACTGACCAGATGCAGAATTATTAGTTTGTGTAAAGTGTAGTTCGTTGTTGCTTCTTTCCACTGCATCGACAAGTCCGGCCCACGTCGATCTAGGTGCCAGAGATAAAGTACAAGTCCGTGAAGACTGTATAATTTGAATTCTCTCCTTCGCTGCCAGTTTCTATGATTTTGCTAGTGATGTGACAATTTGGTCACTGGTGATAATGATCATGGACAATTCTGGAGAAACCAAGATATCCGGAACGTCGTCCTGTTCTGTAGCTACTATGTTGGTCTTGTTGGGCAGGGCAAGCAAGCACAGACCTACAGATGAATGTCTGTGTTTGTATATATCTTGAAACAAGCCTGAGCTTGTACATCAGGATCATGTGACTATCCTGAAAAGTCACTGTCGTTGTAAAACATGGCTTGGCGAATTGAGGGCTGATCACCTGTGTTACGGAGAGGACCAAGCCCCAGGAAGTGTGCTGCTGATTAGTAAAGAAAGAAGTACGTGCGTACCATCTATACTAGGCTATGGTAGAGTAATATATCGGCTACAGTGATCAATTTTGCGTATGTAGTGATCGCGTATAGTGATACTCGTGTATTGAACTGAAGTAGATTGCCTGCAAATTCATTACATGTTGTCAAAATTACATAATTTTTGCATCAGTTAAAGTTAATGTTGTGATTTGAAATGGGTGTGAGAGGTTTCGTAGAGAGAAAAGAACTGCATCCATGGCGCATAAACTGAGTCACAGTACAGTACAAATTTAATACTAATAATTCGGATTTGGTGTAAGTCAAAGGGCCCTGCTTATGTCGAACATTTTACCTGCACCGATTTCCGGCGTCCGTACAAATGAGTTTGATAATTCGAAGTAGGTACGAACAGCAATACTCGTATGTCGAAGTGCTTTGCGAGCCCGGACGATACGTTCTGCGCAGCGATTTTACCACTGATAAGTCTAAGTCCATGACATTCTAATTCAAACCGGCTAGTGCGTGTGCCTTTACCGTACCTGCTACCTCGCTGACATCAGTTCTCAGGAGAGTGAAAGTTGCCGTCGGTACAAATCTGCAGCCCTGCGATCGATCATCTTTGCCGCTGTCGTGTTCCTCTCACGAACATTTTGACGAGGTGTGGCGCTCGAAAAGGAAATATTCGACCCTCGATCCACCCGTCGCAGTCCTCAAAACATAAAGAATGGAAGGATAAGCCTAGTGACCTGAACTTGACTGGGCCTGGGCTGCCGGAGCAGGGGAAGAAAATAAATACATTTGGAACTCACGCTCACCACACATAGACGACCATAATGAAATGTCCTTGCATGATGTGCAGTGTTCTCAGAGCTGCCGTTTGACAAACGTATTGGGTTCAACATACTGTTTTGGATAGTGAGAAGTTATTCATAATTCAAGGAATGGAAAAGGGAGATATGCACTGTACAGGTAGACTCCCTCTAATTCGAATACGGTATAATTCGAACATTCCGTGTATTTCGAACTTTTTCCTCGTACCGATCCTGTGCAAGTCGCTTCAAGTCAAAATTGAATGCGTGATTCGAAGTACGAAAAGTGCACAGACTGGATAATTCGAACTCAGTCTTCGTGTAGGAGAGCAGTTTATAGTACAGTGACTATGTCTTTCGAACGCTTATTTCGAAGTGAGATTGAGTTGCTATAATTGTAATTCGAAGTTCATTCTTTTCTCCTTCTCTAGCCAAGAGTAGCTCAAAAATCGATCCTTGGTCCCCGCCAGGATCGACAATAGCGTTCAAGAACCCCACCTTTTCTCGAAATTTGATTCAAGCCCGTGCGAGGCAAAGTGCAAAGATTTGATTGAAGACGACTTCTTCCAGGTGGTTGACTCCTTTCGCAGATCTAAGTGGTCTTTCTTGTCGCGCCAGCTTGTGCGCAGAGATGTTTGCGAACAACAACACTAGTGACTCGCAGTCCCACACTTGCAAAATTGCCAGAAGCCTACCAAGCAAACTTCACAAGCAAACAAGCAAGAGACATGGCCAAAAAGACGTGGCAGGAAAAGATAACACGGCATGAGCATTGGTTGAACAGTTTGGGTGACGCCGTAACATTGGGTCTCATCTGTTGGTTTACTTGTGTTTGGTCTGTGTCTTATGTTTTATGGCAGAATCAAGTCGGAGGGACCAGGTGCTTGCCTGTTGTGGAGCATGGCGTAGCAAGTATCTGTAACATGTCATTTATTGTTAGCCCAGAAAGCCAAGTGGTATGTCCCCTTGTTTCTACTGTATTCATATACACACTGGATGTACATTGCTTCCGTTTTAATATTTGCATAGGAAAACTTCAGTATAACGTGCGCTTGGGTGCTATGTGGCTAGCTGTGTGGGGGAAAACGACCTTTGGGAAGGTTTTGTCGAAACGTCAGTTGGCACAGGCTCTCATGTCCATGCCCGCACCTACAGTGCTTCTCAATGAAATCCGGTCGCGCGGGAGTCAAGTTTGCGTCTTGCACCATTTCGCAGCCCAGTGTTCGCAGGTCTAGGGCTGCGCAACACTGAGCCGGAACATACTTGAGTGACTCGAACGGATTTCATTGAGCAGTACTGTACCTGCTCACGTGCACGCACACACACACATGTGGCCTGCGTGCACAGCAGCACAGCGCGCACAAACACACAAGCTCACACAAAGCATGCATGCCGATTGACAAATTGCGTCCAGGCCGCTATGATTTCTTTTTGACTTTTGAAAGCTACTCAAAGAATATGTTCAGTGAAGCGGTCTACATTTTAAATTCACTAGTGTATGATAATAGACCAGTTCCGAGAACGCAACGGACTATAGTCGGGCCAACCTTTCAGCATCACTTACCGTCAGCAATTAGCACACCACCCACCGATGCTGGACACACATGCGGCTCCATAGAGGGTGAATGAACGGCAACCGAGGCCAACATCCAGCCCATCGAGGCCACACAGGACTCCTGCCCACCGAGGGCTAAATCCTACTGCCCGTCGATGGCCAGGGAATGTCCACCGAGGCCAACAACCTACCCGCCTTTGGATAAATCCAGCTGTCCACTGTTGACCAATCACATTCTGCCCGTTAGGGGCAAACGAACGCCCATCACCGCCAGCAACCCGCCAACTGAGGGCTCACACAACTGCCTGGCATCAGGCGTCACGCCACACACATTTAAAAGAATGGCCAAACAGAAATGAAATGAAAAACCAGAGGGTGTGAATATTTGTTGTCAACCACCGCACCACAACTGCGCTCTCCAGCCGACCTCGACACATGGCTACAGCACACCATCAGCAAAGCGACACATCCGTTGGTACTCAATTCCTTCATACAGCTGTTTCGAGTATAAAACTCTCGTCAGTGAAGGTAGATACTGTAGTGTAGCGTATAAAAGCATGACCCGTATGGAGGCATGACTCGAATAGAAGCCGATTTTTCGAAGCGCGCCGTGACACAGAAGCATGGTTTGAATACTAGTAGAAACATATACTTGCACACTACATGCGTGACAATGTGCACTGTGCAGTGTAGATTGAAGGTGTTCACGTAGAAAGAATGTTTTGAATAGAAGCATAACTCGAGTACCGTATTATTTCTGTTACAAGCGCGGTCTCTTGTAAAAGCCCAGTCTCTATTATAAGCGCATTCCAAAAGGGCTTCGAAGATATACAAGCGTAGTCTCCAATATTATCGCAGGGCATAATGGAGAACTGTATGGATAATGTCCATGCATGTTCGACGTCACGCAGTATCACATAAACACATGCTGTGGTAAAAGTCTGTGACCCCCGAGATCTAAAGCTCAGACTCAGTGTACCAGGAAGCACAAAACCGTAGTCCTGGTACCTGCTGGGAAACTTTGTGCTACAGTCGTCCCTCTCAAATCCGGTACTTGTTTATCCAGCACCCTTGCAAACCAGCACACTTTCTGGCAAAACGGATTTTTTCAGTTCATTTTCTACGCTTTAATCCGGCACTTGAATTCCGCCTCCAGCAGCGATTTTCTGCAACAAATCACTCAAACTGTACATAATAATTAATTTGATTTTCTAATACAGCAGTTGTACATCGCATACCGTACCGGTGCCAATATCCTATGCCAGTGCATAGGATATTCCCGAGTGTATGTTATATATGGCATGTTATAGACATGCATTCTGCTGCTGCTGCTGCTGCTGCTGCTACAGCAGCTACTGCCGTGGCTGTAGTTACAGCCCCTCTCGTTGTCAGGAAATGTTTGCTTGTGCTACTCTTCATCCAGTTGAATTCTTATTATGACTTTGTATGTTATAATTATTTTCTTGAGCTCCAGTTTTCCCCCTTCATTATAACTCAAGCGCAGTTTAGCGTGTATTGGCTTGTGATTTCCTTTCTTCTGTTTGCTTTGGCATTTTATCGCTCCACAGGTACCCTCGGTCTCAGGTGCTCCCATATTTGTGCAATTGTTGATTTTGCTCCTGAATTGTCCTCGCTGTTGCTTTGCTACCGTCCTCCTCCTTCCTCCACCCTTTTTCTTAAAGGGGAACTGTCACCAAAAAAATTCTTTGTCTTATCTTGTAGTTCTTTGGCTCCTGATCACGATGGTGTTATTCATTTTTCTCTGCGATGACTGGAAGTGGGTGAAAACTTGAAAAGAAGGTCCCCAAAATTGTCCCCAAGTACCGAGTGACGTCACGCCGGACTTGACCACGCGTACATTCATCGTTAAAAACGAAGTCCAGCCCGTGTGCTGGTCGATCGAGCCAACTGTTCGATGTACGGTGCACGCTTGCCTTCTGAACTCGGACACTGATGTGTACGTTGTACACAATGAGAACGCCAGAAAGGGACAAAACAAACAAAAGTCGATAGCAGTTTGTCGCACTGGTACTTCCTCCACGAAGCTCCAGCTCTTTGTTTTATTTGTGATTACGAAGGAGTAGAAGGATGTTTGTTTGCTGTTAGTGTGACACACATACCTCGTACTTGAAAATTTTGTCGTATCGAAGGTGGCGGTGTTGCCCACCTGGCTCTGAAATGAAAGACGTCGGAGTTTGTCATCTGCATCTTCAGCAACGTCGCCAGATGAATCGCCTTCATGTAGCTACATTGCGTTCCTTTGGGGCTTGGGTTGGTGTTATCGCTGGCCAGAGGAGTACTGTTTTCTGCGTACGCACTCATCATCGTGTTGTTCGTCACGAAAAGTTCAAAACAACGACGTACTTTCGTGCTCACAAAATAAAACTTATATCCTCGCGGAAGAAGTCAAAAAGGTGAAAGCTCGGCTGCTTTTTATTTTGATTTGGCTGTGTAGCTGCACGTGGGTCTCTGCCTCCTTGGCATTCTCCTTCGGTACGACGTACCCATCTGTGTTAGAGTTCAAAAGGCACACGTGCACCGTACATCGGAACAGCTAGCTCGATCGACCAGCAAATGGGCTGAACTTCGTTTTTGACGACAAATGTACGCGTGGAGGTCAAGTCCGGCGTGACGTCACTCGGTACTTCGGGACAATTTTGGGCACCTTCTTTTCAAGTTTTCACCCACTTCCAGTCATCGCAGAGAAAACGGATGACACCATCGTGATCAGGAGCCAATGAACTACAAGATAAGACAAAGAATTCAAATAAAAATATACATACATACATTCCACAAACTTGTGACAAAGTACTTGGATTGACACAGAAAATCCCTACATTTTGACGTACGACACAAACATGTAGGTGAGCCGGGTTGGAGGGCAGGATTTGATAATCCAGCACCCTTGTTTATCCAGCAGAAAATGCCGTTGCAAAAGGTGCCGGATTAGAGAGGGACGACTGTACTGATATAATGAAAAATAATAGGCAATGTACATGTACCAGGTGGTTGAAAAAATTATAAGCCCAGTCTCTAGTAGAAGCCCAGTCTCTAATATAACCCGGGGTATGGAGAACCGAGTTTCAGCAGCTCTACTGTTTTTTGTTGTTGTCTTTACTCACACCTTGCAACGTAAGAGAAAAAGAACATTTCAAGCTTGTCCATGCAAGCACAGTAAGCATGTGCATGCACTGGCCATCCTGGTCCTGGATAGTTTGTTACATCATTCGTAAGTGAGTGTAGCTTCTCGTTTTCCTCCCTGTGTCTGCCAACGAGATGCACTGCTTATTTTTCGTGTTACCCTCATTCATTTTCTTTCTGTTGTCACAGCGGCTTAGCCAACCTTCTAGTACTCCTACTCCAGCTACCGGTATTTCACAAGTGGACTTAAGAACCGACAGAGTCCAGAACATTTCTATCGATCTTCGACCAGGTAAGTACTAATTACCCCTAGAACGAGGTCTGTCTCGTTGTGCAGGAGACGGCCAATCAGTGACGTTCCCGCCAAGGGCCTTATCAGAGTTTAAAATCCGCTCAATCGTAATTTTACTACTCTTTGATGACGCGCCGAGGGCCTTGGATTAGTTTAAAGCCCACTGAATACTGTAGAATGCGTAATTTTAGGGTGCGTTCTTATATTCTCTAGCTTCTAGAAGAAGAAAAAAAGAGAAGTCGAAGAAACTGGGATTATTCAAGAACGGGTCTCGAAGAATTCGGAGATATTTTGCACATGTCAAGCAAAATGAAGCGCTAAAGAGGCCGCGATCTTGAGTGATGAATGTAATATGCACGTGTGCATATGCGAAAAGGGAAATGCGTACACTCATGATAAACACGTGGCGTTTTTAGTCGTAGTTCGCATGCGCTGATCCCAAACCGCGGGAATCTCCAAGTTTCAACCACCTCTGAAGCTTGGAGAGCTTTGGAGAGCCTCCTCAGGCGCGTGCACGGTATGAGTTTTTTGGTGTCTGGAAACCACCTTTTTTCGGCAATCTTGCCAAAGGAAAAGCGTGCCTACTGGATTGGTTATCCTGCATACGCGTCGATCGACGGGCAGTTTACAGTACAGTGACTATGTCCTTATTTCAAAGTGAGAGAGAGTTGCTTTGCATGCAGTTCAAAATACATTATTCTCTCTTTCTTCAGTGGAGAGTAGCCACAGAGAGATCGATCTCTAGCTCTGGTTCGCTCCTGGATTGGCGATGACGTTCAAGAAATCCGTTTTGCCTCGAAATTTGAGTCAAGCACGCACGGTGCAAGTCAGTTCAAGGATATGATTGACAATATCTCCTTCCAAACTGTTGACTCAAATGAAGATGACAGCCTTTCGTTCTCGCTCATGTGCGCAGCAGAGATGTTCGTCAAAAACGTTGTCGACTGGAAGACGTAAAAATGTGTGTCCATGATACACTTGAGCTGCTTCAGAACGAAGCGCTGCTCCGGCCGCGTCTCAAGGACGCAGGGCTTCGCTTTTCTCCCGCGAGCTTCCATCGAAGCAAGGTCCATAACTCTTTATTGAAATCATGTGGAACATTGCCAATACATGCCGAAACTTCGTCATAAGAACAGAAAGAAAGATATGTCGAATGTAAGCAGTGTTTTGATGAAACAAACATGCCTGCATGGAGTGGACTAGTGAAGTACCATAGACATAGTGTTATACTTATAAGTTATAGACTGTAGTGTATACATGTAGCCTGGGCGGCTAGGCCTATCAAACTTTTACGGGTTCAATATGACAAACATGTATATGACCACATTTACTTTTGCACCCCCTTTGCAAATACTGTTTGAAGTGCTGGTATGTAAAAGGTAACCCGTACCCGTTTTATCCTGCTACCGGTTATGCATGTACCAATATTTCCATGTAACATCGTCCCCTCCCTCCATTCCTCATTACTCTTATTTCTGTCCTTTCTACCCCTGTACCTGGTGCCCTCTCAGACGCGTTTGTGCCGGCATGATCTGATGATAGGAGTCGAACGAGCCCCGCATCTCATCAGCACCAGTGTTCATTGGTGCCCTGCGCCCCTGACCTTGAGTCCCCCCCCCCCCCCCCTCTAGCCCTCGCCGTTATCTCCGACAGGATGTTCGGGGGATGCGCATGTGCACAAATACATAGTTATACAGCGGGTCTCCAGGAAAAAATTTACCCACTCTAGAAACCCCCCTTTCAAGACTCGGTACACGCCACTGCTCCTAAAAGTCGGAGAGGATATAAGAACAGCTCTCGAACTTTTCGGAGAGTCTCCAACTTTTCCGAGAGGATTTATGAACGCACCCTTAGCGACGTAAAAACTAGGGGTGAAACGGTTACCCTTTGAGGTTACAAACGGGTACGTGGCTTAACGGGCGGGCTATCGGGTACCCTTTAGCAGCCAATAGTAACAGTTGCTATACAATAGCCTTTCGCATTTCGTGCCAGGAGGACATGCGATGTCATGCAATTCACAGCAAATGCACTACATCGCGACAACCGCAGCACGCCCACTTACTGCGCTACATGCAAAACAGTCCAAATTGTCATATGTAGCAGGATCAAACCAGCAACAACACATTCAAACTGTACATCGAACTGTACGACTGTACAAGCCAGCTAATTATAACGTACCATACTGTCGTACACGACTAACGGGTACTCGTTTGCTAACGGATCAGCAGCTAAACAGACGGGTACCCGGGTTACCCGGATCACCCCTTTCACCCCTAGTAAAAACCCTAGCGAATTTAGCGATCGACTCATTTTCGCTCAAGTTTCAAGTCGCTAATCCGTTGAGACATTAGTAGTGCACTGGTGATCCGTGAGTAAAATCGCTGCAAATCGCTAAGATTAAACGTCGCTAACCGGTTGACAATGGGAAAACGCTAAAATTAATAGTCGCTAAAAATACCCGTTCTACAGTATACTCTAAACAGGTGCGTACAACATCCTGTACGCATTATAGTACAGTGCAGATAATGAACTCTGCTTATAATGTACGATGTACTACCAAGAGTACATAACCCCCTTAAGAGTGTGCAACTGCCTGCACAACCTCTATGCAGTGCTGCGACGGCAGAACTTCACGTCACGTGACATGGTTCAAAAGGTTACACTGGCAAACAGTGCAAAGTGACCACAAGAGAGTTGTACCCAAAGCTGGGCTGCGTTCAACCCTGTATCAGTCATGCACAGAGTGCTAACAGTGTGTACGGGTTGGATTAGATTTGGATTGGATTGGTTTATTTAATGTCGAATAACAAACAGGCGGTGTTGCCTTATTACATGAGATCGACTACAGGCGCACAAAATTGTAAGGAAAAGATTAAAAGAAAAATAGTGTAGGGTTCATCACGTGATGTGAAGTTCTGCCGTCGCAGACCCTATAGCTGGAGTTGCACACTCTTGGGGGTTATGTACTCTTAAGCTACGCATTTCAAAAGTGCTAGTTTGTACGTGAAGTGTGTGGGTTACAGTGAGGGCTACGTCCCACCCACCTGTGTGGGTTCACAAGAAGTGCGAGTTACGAAGTCTGAAGAAAATGTTGAACGGTCTCAGCTGGGATGACGACTACACCATAGCTCAGTGGTTAGAGCGTCGCTGGCTACAAGCGAAGGTCCCTGGTTCCAGTCCTGGTGGTGGCAGTCAATTGTTTTCTTCAGACTTTTCCCGTTTGTGTCTTTTTCCTCAAACCAGTGAACATTTCAGAAGTGTTTACGGTTTTTGCCTCCCGTACTCTTTCATCTGTACGATTTTCCTTTGTCAACAGCTGGCGGAACCCTATAAAACCGAAGATCAAAGCCATAGGTATCGAAAAGCCCCTAAATAGCTCCACAAGCTATGAATAAGAATGAAGTCGAGAAGTAGTACCAGACTTCCAAGAAAACATAACTTGCACATACAAAATGTGGCCTCGTTGTGAGTTATCGGCATCCTTCTAAATGTTATGGATTTCATATACAAAATGCACTGGCCGGTGAAGGGTTACCAATCTGGTTTTTTTCCCTCGTATGCGCTCCAGGTGCTGCCGTTACGTTTGATGTCCAGATCCGAAGACAGAACAACTTTCCCGTCGATATCTACTATTTGCTGGATACCACCTCAACATTTAGCAGAAATCGTGTTAATCTGCTCGCTAACGGAGCGAATATCTGTGAGTAGATGTATATGTGTCAGGATTTAGCCGGGGTAAAACCAAAGAAGTTGAACGTGGTACATGTACTACAGATGTAGATTGGCTATACAACTTGTTTAAAGGGGAAGTTAAGGCAAAAATTAAAATTTCACCAGTTGTAGTCTTCGGGGTGCTGAGTCGAATGGTCGTGGTCCGAGGAAGCTGAGACGCTCCCTTCCTACTTGAATCCCAATCGAACTCGCGTACTTCCACCGAAACTGGGTGACTGCGCCCTACTAGATGGGGATTTGTATGCAAAATGTCACTAAAAGCGCCATTTCGTTCTTATAAAAGCACGGATGACCGCGATTGGCCCATATGTTGTAGTCTTTTGGACGCTGAGTCGACTGGTTTTGGTCCGAAAAGGCTGCGATGCGGCGTTCCTCCTTTATTCCCAATCGAACATGGTTGAAGAAGCGGTCACGTGCTCCTGCGTACACCAGTCACCTGGTCACCGTGCCTGCAGGGTACAACTTACTAGCCTGTTTGACCTTTTTTGGGTGCAGTCCTGTCACTCGAGTTGAACTCGAGTTGAACCTTGGTGTGAAAGTTGTCACCTGCTGGCGTGGTGACCAGGTGATTTGGGCACGCAGGACCACGTGACCGCTTCTTCAACCATGTTCGATTGGGAATAAAGGAGGAACGCTGCATCGCAGCCTTTTCGGACCAAAACCAGTCGACGCAGCGTCCAAAAGACTACAACATATGGGCCAATCGCGGTCATCCGTGCTTTTATAAGAACGAAATGGCGCTTTTAGTGACATTTTGCATACAAATCCCCATCTAGTAGGACGCAGTCACCCAGTTTCGGTGGAAGTGCGCGAGTTCGATTGGGATTCAAGTAGGAAGGGAGCGTCTCAGCTTCCTCGGACCACGACCATTCGACTCAGCACCCCGAAGACTACAACTGGTGAAATTTTAATTTTTGCCTTAACTTCCCCTTTAACGAGGATGCAGCAATATCATGAGAAAACTGTTGAATCTTTGAATAAGTAAATGAAAACCTGTTCAGTTTGAGCAGGTTAGTTATGGCTCTGGCTCCCACAAAGGTGTTAACCTTATCCGGACATGCACTAGAGAAGTGTTGGGACATGCACTCGGGAAGTATTGGAACTCGTTCTGTCACTCTTGAATACATACTACATAGTGTATTTTAGGCAAGTGGAGAAGCCCTTCTTGACACTAGGGCTGAAACGATCGTGGATGTAATCAATTACGATCGTTGGCAAGTAGTGTCAGGAATTTGTGCAAAATTACTCTATTTCCACAAGCTATATCTTCATAATACGAAAAATCTGTGAAAGCAAGAGTACATAACCCCCCCCCCCCCCAAGAGTGTGCAACTCCCACGTACCCTGCTGTCCCAACAGAATTTCAAGTTGACGTCACTATTTATGATGCAATGCTCTTATGCGTGCTGAAGTGCGTTGGTCATTGGTATGTGGGTGTGGGTGTGGGTGTGAAGGCATGGGTACCAGTGTCGGCTCGAGGGCCGGGTCAGCGGGGCCAGCGACCCGGTTGTGGGTGCTTGGTCCCGTTTGAAAAAGGTGACACCGGCTCACTTGTAACCTGGTTGGTAGTATGCATGTCGAGTACTTACTTTGCTTCAAAGTATACTTCAAGCCGTGCACACGCTGACAGGCTGCAGGCGCACGTGGACGGAGTGCCTAGTACACTTTGTTCATACACGCATATCAGGGAGTCGTAAACTATTTACGACTTCCTGATGTACATGCAGTGGCCGCACTTGAACGACGACCGTTTTCTTTACCCGGTGGTGTCTTTTTGACCTAGCTTGGTACATCGCTACAGGTACAGGTACAGGCGTACAGGTAGTTCTTGAATCGTCCTCTACTCCAGCCCGTGCATTTTTTGGTACACTCGTACCCGGCCCTGACTCGGTTGCAAGAGTTGCTCATTTACACCTACTTGTACCCGTTTGGTTTGACATCCTAGAGCAGACATTGGGTACGCCATGTACGTGTGTGCGCGCCTGTGTGGCATGGGGGAGGGGCGGGGGCGTGTGTACCCGCACGTGTCCGCAGAGCGTAGGCGTGTGGGTGCCTGAAGGTGCTTGCATGTTCATGGGGTCTTGTGCTTATGATATTTTTAGTTATTGCGCCTATGCGTACTGGAAAAACCTGCATCATCACCAACGGAAGTGGTCTCTTTGCAGCAAAGAGACCACTTACTTTTGTTGATGATGTAATGTTTTTCTGTGTTATAAAGTGGCTGCAGTGGAGCTTGCGCACCTTAATAAATGCGTATCTGGCTTGAATTTTGATATCGGATGATGTGACATGCAGTTGCAAGGATTGGAGATCTTACGCCAGAACGCCGCATTGGTCTGGGCACATTCACAGACAAGCCAGTGTCTCCCTATTTCGATGTTACAACAGCTGGGTAAGGTCATTAGTTACTTAGGCATGTCATCTGTGATTGCATGTCGGAGTTTTCGGTGAGATATGACTATGTCTAGCCCTCGCGATTTACGCAGTTTCATGCTCGAACACAGCATTTTTTAAAGTTTAATATTCTAATGAAGCTATACTTGATGCAGCTCATTAAAAGGCCCTTTCAGGCCATTTTTCATGCTCGAACAAGAAGTGCCTTGGATATTTTCCTCCTACTGTCTTAGAATCTTGGCGATGGAGAAGCTTCTAGAGTCTTTGCGTGACGATGATCAGGTGGCTCGCCGCCTTGCCCACGTGCTGGCCGATGTGGTCGAAACACAGAGCCGTGGATGCGGGAGTATGGTGACACCCCAAGATGGGCCAGGTGCTTTGAGTGCTGTGCGTCCACACGAGTCACGCCGTGACTTTGGGTCGTGTGATGTTTCTGGCGAAGCCAGGGCACGGGTGGCTGGTGGCTCCAGCCCGGCACCTTGTCGGCACCATAGTGCGTCTTCGTCCATGAATGTGAAGAGCACTAAACGGCCTAAACGGTCTCGCAACCTGCTAGGCCTATGTGCCTACGAGTCGGACACTGTTGGTAGTGCCTCCGAGTGTGAGTCTGACTGTTCTCAGTCAAAGACATACTCCGACTCAGATGAGGGTGAGTACTACTCTAGTTCTAGCCAGAGTTCAAGTGCTAGTGCCAACTCGGAGTACTCAGATCAGGACAGTAGGGAGGTTTAGTTCCCACGTAACGGAAACGCATACGTGGGTGATCCACGTAAAGTGGATGAAGGGCACCCACGTTGCAATGTTGTGTTTAGTCACACGGAACAAACAAAAGCATGAAGCGAAAGGCCCAAACCTGGTCAAAGACGAAGCTACCCGGGCCTAAGAAGCTCATCCAATATTTTTATTTCATGCTTCCGAAATTTCTTCAGCTGAGCACCCTCACAGCTCGCACAATTCGCTACATTCTGATTTTCACCCACGTTCTGGCGTAACGTGGGTGAGCCTCCATACACGGTATGTCGTGAATCAGAAAACGTCTGTACGTGGGTCACTGAGTATCACGTGGTACACACACGTAAAGTACCCACGGATTACGTGGGACTAAACCTCCCTAGTATTGCTTGCCACCACCTCGGGTGTAGCAAGCGGGCCAAACGGTCCCAATCACATCCACCACCTGTGGAGCGGTCAGCGTTTGACCCATCAGAACTGCCGGATGTCACTGGGGTATGGGTCGCGCCAGAGGTAGCGGCTTACTTCGGGAAGCACATAAGGCATCGCCTTGAGCGTGAGGCACATAAGCGCCTGGTCGCACAGTGCCCGAGACCCTCCAATGTACCCAGTGTTGCCACACCTCGTTGTGATTTTGTGGGTAAACAGCGGGATACGGGCAAGCAGTCCCGTGCACCTGACCCACACCGTTTTCTGTGGACTGTTCAGGACGAGGTTTTGGACACAGTCGGACCGCTGTGTGCTCTATACTCGAGAGTCTTGTCAGCTGAACAGACGGGCACGACCTTGTCTCCAGCTGACGTCATTCTGTCTGTCCAGCAGACGTTTGTGCTAGTGGGTCACGTCAATGAACGTATTTCACGGGAGCGCTGTTACGAACTGCTCCGGCAACATGAGCCAGCCGCTGTGTCTGTTCTACAATCAGCAGATTTGTCTGTTTCCGGCTCCAAACTCTTTGGTCAAGAGTTCCTGAAGTCAATGCGATCGCAGGCCAAGGAGGCGAAAGCCTTTCAGGAGCTGAGCTCTTTTCTGAATCGCCGCAAGTGCCCGTTTAGAGACTCTCGCTTCAGTTCCTCGCACCCAGTCCGCTCGTCCAGTGCACCGGCTTCTGCCTCTGCTAAGTCTCCTGTTCGGGAGGCTCCCGGCCCCAGCCGCAACTACTACCGCGGCACAGATCGCTACCGGGGTTCGGGTCGCGGAGCCGGCACCACACCCCGCCACTTCCGACAGCGGTCGCAGACACACCACGAGCCGCAGAGGCAGTAGCGTCTCGGCCGGGGATCGGGATGAGCCCCGATTTCCATCCTCATTCAGCTTGTTCCGCGGACGATTTCCGTCATTTTATTCCTTCCTACACTATGCTGCTACTTCATCTCCCGCTTCCACCTCATTCCAAGCTGTCCACTCTCCCTCAAGCGGGTCAGCTCCAGTACTTTCAGGCATCATGGCACACTCTGACGACGGACCCTTGGGTGCTGGAGACCGTCTTTGGTTACCGCCTGGATCTGCTGTCTCCTCCGACTCACCCGTCCGTACCACATCCTCACCGGTTGGACGCCTCTCTGACTCAAAAGCTAGATGAGGAGGTGTGCGAGGTAGTTGCCAAGGGCGCCATTACGCAGATTCCAGAGCGAGAAAAAGGGATTTTTCAGTCCATTTTTCGCTGTGCCGAAGGCGGATTCCATCAAAATCCGGCCGATTATCAACCTCCGAGTCCTGAACGACTGTCTGCAGTATCACCACTTCAAGATGGAGTCATTGAGGACAGTGGCGGATCTCCTGCAGCCCGGAGATGTGATGATCAAGATAGACTTGAGAGATGCTTATTTCTCCTTTCCAGTGGCTCGATCGTCTCGTCGTTTTCTCCAGTTCCGGTGACATCGCCAGCTTTACCGGTTTAACTGTCTACCGTTTGGCCAGCAGTGCTCCCAGAGTCTTCACCAAGAATCTGCATCCTCTGGTGACGATGGCACGTTCGCTCGGCATGCGACTGGTGATTTACCTTGACGACTTATTAATCATGGCACGGACAACGTCCGACCTGTTTCGCCATGTTGCCACCATTCTTCATCTGCTGATCGGTCTTGGGTTCGACATCGACTGGAAGAAGTTGCATCTGATTCCAACCAGGCAGATACAGTACCTGCGTATTCAGGTCAACTCCGTCACCATGGAGTTATCATTGCCAGACACGAAAGCATCCAAGCTTCAGGAACACTGTGCACGTCTGCTGACTGCTCACACCGTATCTCTTCGGGATATTGCGTCGATTGTGGGCATGATGGTGTCCACCATGGTTCCGTGGCTTCTGCCCCACTTCACTATCGTCACCTGCTGTGTTTGAAGAACACGTTCCTGCGACAGGGTCGCCCCTACACTTACCAGCTTGCCCTCAGCATACATATACATATTTGGGGTTTTCTCGGACCCTTTTTTCCTTTCCAAAGGTCCTGTATATACCTGGTGAACCAGTATTTCCACTCTGGAGTTTGCATTGTCCGTTCTGCATAACCCTGTTTGGGTTTGTTCTCCATGAAAATAGGCCTGAAAGGGCCTTGGATGAGCTGCATCAAGTACAGCTTCATTAGAATATTGAACTCTAAAAATGCTGTGTTCGAGCATGAAATCGCGTATATCGCGAGGGCTAGACATAGTTATATGTCACCTCCAACTCCTTATACAATTCCCAATTCACTACACAATTTTCCATTGCTTGTGAAATGGGTTTTACCCACGTTTATCGGTTGTGTGTGTGGAAACTTTTTGCATTTGCAAAGCTACATCAGTTGAAATGTGATGTGTTTCCCTTGTGCACTATACTTGTTTGCTAGTTCACATTAGCCCACATTCCACATGCACATGCACATGCTATACCGCTATGAAGTACACCAACACACAGGGCACAGAGTTTGGAGTTATACGGGTGCTGGCTGCGAGTGAGGCAATGTGGCTCACCATAGAGCACGAGAGAGAGAGAGAGAGAGAGAGAGAGAGAGAGAGAGAGACAGAGAGAGAGACAGAGAGAGAGACAGAGAGAGAGACAGAGAGAGAGACAGAGAGAGAGACAGAGAGAGAGACAGAGAGAGAGACAGAGAGAGAGACAGAGAGAGAGACAGAGAGAGAGACAGAGAGAGAGACAGAGAGAGAGACAGAGAGAGAGACAGAGAGAGAGACAGAGAGAGAGACAGAGAGAGAGACAGAGAGAGAGACAGAGAGAGAGACAGAGAGAGAGACAGAGAGAGAGACAGAGAGAGAGACAGAGAGAGAGACAGAGAGAGAGACAGAGAGAGACAGAGAGAGACAGAGAGAGACAGAGAGAGACAGAGAGAGAGAGAGACAGAGAGAGAGAGAGACAGAGAGAGAGAGAGACAGAGAGAGAGAGAGACAGAGAGAGAGAGAGACAGAGAGAGAGAGAGACAGAGAGAGAGAGAGAGAGAGAGAGAGAGAGAGAGAGAGAGAGAGAGAGAGAGAGAGAGAGAGAGAGAGAGAGAGAGAGAGAGAGAGAGAGAGAGAGAGAGAGAGAGAGAGAGAGAGAGAGAGAGAGAGAGAGAGAGAGAGAGAGAGAGAGAGAGAGAGAGAGAGAGAGAGAGGCTCAACATAGAGCACGAGAGAGAAAGAGAGTGGCTCAACATAGAGCACGAGAGAGTGAGTGGCTCAACATAGAGAGCGAGAGAGTGAGTGGCTCAACATAGAGAGCGAGAGAGTGAGTGGCTCAACATAGAGAGCGAGAGAGTGAGTGGCTCAACATAGAGCGCGTATGGTGGCTCAACATAGAGCGCGTGTGTTGGCTCAACAGAGAGCGCGTGTGTTGGCTGAACATAGAGCGCGTGTGTTGGCTCAACATAGAGCACGGAGTGATTGAACGAGTTAATCCACTGCCGTTAACCTTTTGAGCCCGGGCCCATTGAAAACCTCTGCCACGCAGTAAAAAATTTTAATTCACTCTATGTGAGCAAACTTGATTTCAAACGAATCTTTCATGTATCCTGAGCACAGAACTGTTTTTGTTTTGGAAATACAACAAAGATTACAAAAGTTATGACCGTTTTTTTAAGGTAGGTTTACGCGAAATTGGTATTTTGAAATGTATGCACGCGCATGTAACTCCAGGTCAAACGTACGGAGCGACTCGCATTTTTTTGTTACTGTACTCGTACATCCTAGGAGTCCTCTGTGCAGCGGTACAGCTCGACGCCACGCCACGGAAGAAACGCGGTATCGATGTAGTTCCGCACTGACTCGTGACGTTCTAGAACGTCACGCGTGTCACAGTGGCAGTGGTCATGACGTGCCAGAACGTCACGTGTGCTCAAAAGATTAAGAGTTGCGCCAGCACCCTGTGTTTATTGTGAAGAGTGGACCAGTAGTGAGGTCCTAGTTATAGATAGTGGTAAGGGTGGTGTGGTAGTCCCACTGAACTATGGCTGATAGTTGCATGACTCTTGTTGTAATGTATGTTTTGTCTCTGTCATTGATGCGCTTTCAGTAACGCTTTCAGTAATCTGCTGATATGCTAGAAGCATCCTAGACCTACCTGCACTGTGTTCCTTCTGTACGCATTCGCCACATACTTGGCATGCCCTATCCCTAGCGCTGGGTAGTACCATGCAGTCTACCAGTGACGTAGGTCTCACGTGATACTTGTTGTAGTGATTGTAGATATTGACGGATCCTGGCGCAAGGTCGAGGAGGTCGAGAGAGCCCGAGAATGGCGGCCAGATACATAGTGTCCTAATTTATTATCCCGAACCGTTTTCCTTGTATTTATTCTTATTGCATGTATTGATTAATCCCATTGTTGGATTGAACCGTGTTGGCTGGTGTGAACTGAGTGACGAGTTGACTGAAACAGGTGGGATGGTGGGAAAAGAATTCACAAGCCAACCGCTACTGCGGAGCAAGAAGCAGAAAACAACAACTAAACAGTTTGAGCTCTCCAAACTGCTGTAATAGAAAATTTATTTCTGATCGCTGAGCTGTAAGTGCAAGCCGGAGCCAGGACAGGCGCACAGTTCTGTGAAACCTTTTACCTGCATGCGTGCTGAGCTGTAAGTGTGACCCGGAGCTGGGACAGGCGCACGGCCCTGTGTACCTTATACGGTAACTGCGTGCTGCACGCTGCATGGAGCAGGCGTATCGGGTTGCCCAGTGAGTGCAGTGTGCACCTGCAGACGTGTACGGCAGTGCATACGTTGCACATGTACGCAGGTGCCGAAGGTAAAAAAAAGGACATGCCTATGTATAACTTATAAGGAACATGAGGAAATGAGCAGTGGGAGTCTGTGATGAGCGCTAACAAGGGTTAACTGCATTAACCCCACATTAAGCCCACATTAAGCCCACATTAAGCCCACATTAACCCCACATTGTCATGTACAGTGCATTCCATTACTAGCAAGTACTGGATAGCTCGCTCGATAGCTGGATAGCGTAATGATTTACCCGTTTCACCCCTAACAATAAACACCCTGCAGGAGTCAGTTTGGCCGGGATTCTAAGGCTCCAGCCAACTCTCAACCGCTGGGCCTTTTACAGGCAGCACTTATTTTCGGTCTGGGACCAATCTCAGGAAATACTGTACGGGTGGTGGGTTCAAAAAGATTGGTCATTGTGCTGTACGACAGCAGCATGTGCAGAGCAGAATGCTTGGATTGAGATCAGTATGGTGTAAATGCCCGTCTATGTTAGTACATTGTGTTCTTTCTTTTTTTAAAGTTAATGTTATGTGTGGAGTGCTCTTGGTCACGGAAATGGGTTATTAGTTATTACGAATTGCATTGGACTCATCTTCGCACCGCTGTTGTTTGCTTGTTTTTATTTTGTTGTTTTTGCTCTGCTCTCTAGTGTATTGCATCAAGTTATCAACGCTGCAATTAGCCGGTGCGGTCTTCTTGAAGATGGTCAGACTAATTGTGATCCTAACCCAAATTCTTTTGTTCATGAGCTCGACGTTACCAACGATGTTGCTGCGTTTTCAGTAAGTTCAGAAAGGCAATTAAATAATATGCAACTGGTCGCGCAGTGAAATAATTATATTCCATAGTGTGTGCGTGATTGGTCTGTTGCCGAATAAGACCCGCTGTGACTTGGCGGGGCATAGCACGCGTACTGAATGCGTGATCCGTGCATTTCACAAGTGCAAGCTCTTATTCCTGAACCGCAGCGATCAATCACCGCTTTTGGCGTGTACTCACCCATGTGGCAAGAGCAAAGTTACTAACCTGGATCAGATACATTTAACAGCGAAGGGTTTCTGTTTTATTCTCACTTTTTGATCGCTGCCCGCTACTTGTAGAAAGTGTCTCCTTGCATTTACTTCTGGCTGAACCTTTGTGATAAGTTGGAGACCAGGCCGATGAAGCGTTCAATGAACCGAAGGCTTCATCTCTTACGGTACGCTGCCATGAACGTAACGTTGATACTATTCTTGAAACACTGCCTGGCACAACGACTAAGTTGAATGGGTATTACAGATAGACTCCCTCTAATTCGAACATTCCGTGTAATTCGAACTTTTTCGTCGAACCGATCTTCTGCAAGTCACTTCAAGTCAAATTTGAATGCATAATTCGAAGTATGAAAAGTGCGCCCGCTGGATAACTCGAACTCAGTCTTCGCACAGAAGAGCAGTTTACAGCACAGTGACTATGTCCTTCGAGCGCTTATTTCGAAGTGAGATGGAGTTGCTCTACTCGTAATTCGAAGTTCAAGTTTTCTCCTTCTCTAGCCAAGAGTAATTCAAAAATTGATCCCTGGTCTGCTCCAGGATCGACAATAGCGTTGAAGAAACCCACATTCTCTCGAAATTTGATTCAAGCCTGTGCAAGGCAAAGTGCGAAGATTTGATTGAGAGGACGACTTTTTCCAGGTGGCTGGCTCCCTTCGCGAATCTCAGTGGCTTGTCATGCCGCTCCAGCTCACGCGCAGAGAAGTTTGGGACTGAACAACAATTGGAAGTCGTAAATATTGTCTATCCCTATGCTCCACTTCCGTTTTTCAGAATGGCGTGCTGCTCTCCGACGGGCTTTCATGCCGCAGAGAAGGCAGCGCTGTTCTTTTTCGTTAAAATTGTTTCAGGACAGCTGCAGTGATTGAAAACTGCTTCACTAGAACTTCGTAGAAGATGAAGATAATGTCCAAACACTTTGTGTCGATCCAGTGTTTTGATGAAATGAACTGATTTCGTTGTTCATGACGACATATGTTTCGTTGATGCAAATAAATGTGCAAAAACAGTCAGTATGCAATTTTGAGCATTTTGACGTACATACCGGTATCAGACTATCAGTACATGAGACTGCACTTGGATATTTAGAAGTTCCGGATAGTTCGAAGTTGGGGCCTGGCAATTTGAGGTTCGAATTGGAGGGAGTCTACCTGTACCAACAAAATGTCTCAATAGGGGATGGTAAAACTGGCAATAAAAACTGCGCAGAGGATGTGAGCAGACGATTACTTCTTCAGAACTCGAAGAGACTCTCCTAAGACGAAAGACACATGGAAGCTCGAAAAGAATCTACCCGGCGATTTGGCTACTTCGAGTACACATGTGTGTACACGACATGTGTACATGCATGGGTTGTTACGTTGTAACGGAATCCCAGCCATTCCGTTCCCCGGGACGCAGGACACACAGGACAAGACTAGTTTGTTTACATTAGGCCAAAACAAATAATGACCTTGTTTCCGGTCGGCCGACCGGGCCACTTTTTCCCAAATTCTGAAACTTTTTTTGGTCCCAAATGTATACAAACGGTGACAATGCCATGTGTGCAAGTGCACTCAACGAGTCATAACTCAGTCAAATCTCAACCGAATTCCACAATCGAAACACCTACAAGGTAGCAGAGATACTCAGCTGTCGGCTCGAAAACCTCCGGGGTCGATACGGGCTAGAATAACGGAGCTGGAAGGACTCGAACTGTTTGCTTGATTTCTCAGGATGTACGAAAACAGGAATACACCACATGCTGTACAAGAGCAGTGAGTCAGTCAACTTTGACATTGATCCTTGCCATGATATATGTACAATGTACATGTGTAGGTGCTCTTGTCCGTCAATACCACAACGATTGAGGAACCAAAAAAAGTATCCAAAAAAAGTTTCATTCCGGCTGACCGCGTCTCCTTTTTGAGGGGTTGCCGACCGGAAACAAGCCTATTTTTTGTTTTGGCCTTATTGTATTGATATGACGGAAAAGCAGACTACATTCAAAGAGACGAACCAGAAGACTGACAAAAGGACTCTCCTCTACAACATCGCACATGGTCATATCACACATGCACGCGACTAGACGAAGACAGTTTGGGGAATGTCGCCATTGGGGATATACACCCGGTTTTTTCCCTCACAACTGCGTCCGTCGGCGCGAGGGTTTTTTCCCGGCTGGCTCGATCCAGGAAGATTAATCTGACGGTCCCAAGTGGTTCTGCATCATGGCCTATTTCTGCTATCCACTGGCACGCCTACTCTATCTTAGACACTCTGTTCTCAGTCCTTGCTTCCATACCTCACTCGTTATCCGGTTCACATCTGGCTGCGGCCAACTACCCTTCTGCATCTGGCTGCGGCCAACTACCCTTCACTTTGTGTGTTGTCGCTATTGCTGTCTATGTCTCTGTGTGTGCCTGTATATGTGGAGCGAGAACGCTAGCAGAAAATTTCCCGTCTACAACTTTCCATCAAACAGATGAAACAGATTAGCAAGGAATCATTTTTTCACCGTGTGCATGAGTACGCGACCAAAGCAGTGATTGATCGTTGCGGTTCAGGAACTAGAGCTCGCGCTTGAGAAGTGCACTGCCTGTATTGCGTGCACTGGTCCTGCATTTGGTATGCGTGCGATGCCCTGCCAAATCACTGGGTGTCTTATTTGGCTAAAGACCTTTTCTCGCTACTCATCTGTTGTTCCACGCTTCTGTTTCGTCACAACTACATTTGAGTTCTACGAGTTGTTGGTATCTTAGTTAGGACCCTTCGATGTATAAAGGCCCTTCTAGAATTGGGCCGGTCATGGCAATCTTATATCACGGGCTGGTGCATGTCTTTTTTAACGTATCGTATTCTCCTTCTGTTGTTTGATAGTTGTGTCACTGCTATGTGTTTCTTTGTTCTACCAGAGTGCCATCAATCGCACCTTGCTGGCCAACAAGTATGTATCTGATGTCAGGAAAGGAATGCTGGATGCGTTGCTGCAATCGTCAGTCTGCCTGCAGGTGTGTAGTATGGTGTGATAGTCTAGAACGGGGGTCAATTGTGAGTATGTGTAAATGAAGGCACGCTGGCTTGGTCTAAACCCTGTGTTCAGGACCAAGAGGTACTGCAGTCCATTTTAAGTATATACCGCATTTTCCTGAGTATAAGCGCACTCTAACCCTTGACCGGCCACACATCCATTGAATTGCGCACGAACATAGAGGCATCTGGCAGCGCTTGTGGGAGCGATGCTGCCGTTGGCCCTGAGCGGAGCATGACCAATGGAGTCATCGATGTCTATGGCCTTTGTTTCCACACAAATGTCGATTGTTTTGGGAGTTGTAGACTCAGGTCGGGTCTTTGACAATCTACACATGAGGCATCGGCAGCAAGAACCCGGGTCCTGGCGATTTTTCAAAATGCCAATATTTGCGAAAAACCGAACCGATGTCGTTTTTAGTCACCGCGATCAAAGCAAAAAGACTTCTTGCGCTATCGCTTTGAAAGTGCCTTCTTCCTGGTGGCTTCACTATAATTTGTAGTCGTCGCCATTGTAGTGTATCCGCCAAGCACTTAGGACGTCCAGGTAGACGTTTTCAGCCGCCATTGAGGCGTTTGAGCTCTGGGTAGCACCTGCGAAATCATGTGCTCGAAAGAGAGCGAAACAAAATAATTTCTTGGCGGAAAGATCCCGTCACAAATTCTTGATGGAGCACGAGTGGCTAGAAATATTTGGCAGCTGGATCTCCAGAGATACTCCGCTGCCTGCCATAGTCCACAGCATGCTAGCAAGAAGAATCAGGTGAAAGCGACGAAGTTTCACTCAGATGACAAGCCATCAGCGGAGGCAGCGCAGACGATGAATTTGAGAGATCCGTGACACGAAGTGGCGACGCGGACAGCAGCGCTGAGAGTGCAGAATGAGCTTTAGTAATCCGTGGCAACTATCCGCAGCTGGATAAGTTGGTGAGATACGGGGACAGCCCTGAATGAACTAAACCTTTCTTGATACAAGATGGTGAAAAAGGAGAAGGACGAAATGTTACGTGTTATGACTAACTGTCCACCAACGTACTGTAAATATACAAAATTTCGGCGCTGCAAAATTTCGGCACTTCACGATTTTTGACATTTCGGCGGTGATTTATTTTCGGCGTGGGGTAGAGGGCATGGTATAGTGCGACAGATGCTGTGAAAAATTTCATCGGCGTTTTAATTTAGGCATTTTGGGTCGGTGCCGAATATAGCCGAAATTAAATAGCTACCGAAAATTTGTATATTTACAGTAACCAGATCTTATACAGTCAGCGAGTGCGACAAAATGGCACAAAACTGACAAGGAGTACTGAGACATTCGGCGACCTGACACCTAACTCCAACACTTTTCCAAGGCGCAAACCAACAACCTTCCAACTTGGAAGGCTCAGGTTCGGAAAGGCCCAAGAAGGGAAGGAAAGCGCAACGAAGAAGAGCACGTTAGTTAGTCATAACTCGTAACATTTTGTCCTTCTCCTTTTTCACCATAATTTAATTGGCTCACCATCCGAGTTGAATGGTACAAGATGCTTTGTGAATAAAATTGTTGCAAGTATACTTGCATGCTTGCTGTGCGCATGAAATTTGTCACAGTATAATGCATGTATCTACGAGCTGCTGTGTGAAGTAGAGCAAGACATGCTTGGTGGATGTATCTGGCTTGGCCCAGCATGCATATCTCGTATTGTAGATTCCTCCCAGCCATGTAAAACGTCAGTTGTTTGGCTTCTTTCTATCTGACAAGTCTGCATCCAACACTAGACCTGCATATGACAGGGATTGAGTTTTCAAGCTCATAGCAGAAAGTGCAGGCAACAATGTTACCCTATTATTTTAACTATAGTACTCTGTGCTTCCCTGAACACTATAAATATGCTAAATTATTCTCAACCACTCCATTTTAGAGCCACCTGTAACTGCGTTCCATTTTTCCTTTTTTGCTGATCATTTTTGTTGACCTTCACCCATGATTTCGAGCATTCTTTTTACCATCTTGGAAGGTGCCCAGAGCTCCAAAATTTGGCCCATAGATCACTCATTTAGTGGATGTAACTACTCTCTGTCGTCAACCAAGACACACAAGACTCGGTCCAGTTTACAACTAACTTCAAGAACACATGAACCACCCATGATAAAGCAGTGAGAGAGAACAGCAGGGCAGTGCGTACATCATTCATGCTGGGATATTGCACGTGCAAGTAGAGAGCACGCTCGAGGGTACGCACACAGACATGATTGGCAATAACGTATGAATGCACAGGAAGGTCAAGCACTAATATGGATTGTACATCCACAACACCTCCCCTCTGAGATAGAAAACAAGATGGACGAGAGGACAGAAATGAGAGAGGACTGAAACTACTTCACATGCACATCATATTGGGCAGGTAAGAGCATGATGCGTATCGACAGTAATGTGAGGCAGTGTTAGCAGGACCCAATCAGTCGGTCTGGTGGACGGGTTTCACGTGCGGAGCGGCTTGGCACAGGAGAAAGCAGCGCGGCCGGTTGTGTAGTACCATAGGCCACATCAACGGCGCCATCGGTCTCCAGCCGCGGCAGGCAGACGAGGTGTCGGCGGTTGCGGCGTAGAGTTGACGGTCCAGCCTTCACGCTGTATGATCGGTTAGAGACTTGCTCCAGCACAATACCTTCCCTCTCAAGATCTGTGATCCACACTCGGTCACGTGGAATGAGTTGAGGCAGAGGCTTGGCAGCATGTCGCTTGTCGAAATGCTGCTCCTGAGCATGTGACTCGGTGTCACAGACGGTCGTTAGGTCAGGCCACTGAGGTTGTAGCTAATCGGTAGTCGATGGCAATCCTGTGCGCAGCTGGCGACCATATAGCAGCTGACACGGGGAATAGCCATTGGCGAGAGGCGTTGAACGATATGTCAGAAGGGCATCGTGTAGATTGTCAGACTTCTGAAGGAGATTCTTGGCAGTGCGGACGGCACGCTCAGCCTCGCCATTAGACTGTGGGTACTTCGGGCTAGATGTACGGTGTGACATGTTGTATGTTGAGCAGAAGGTTGCGAACACTTCTCCAGAGAACTGCGGGCCATTGTCGCTGTTCAGGGCAATACGGACAACCCAAGTCACGACCACACATCGAAAACTACTGCTCGCTTGAAGACTGTATAAAGTGTATTCACAAACAACAACAAATCTGAAAAACTCTGAAAAAGAAACTAAACAAAAAGCCACGAGGTCCGCTCAGCGCCTCGCGCACCAAGACCATCTACGAAAATGGAGGCATCGCAGTTCGCCTTCAAGGAAACAGCAACTATTGCAGCGAAGCGGTGAAAACTGCAAGAAAGCGAAAGCCATAGATCACGGACACAACAGAAAAAGCCTGTACCAAAGAAAGCGCATCGCTAGCCGCGCCGCATTGTACACACACAGCGCACAGTTCACTGTACATTTGGCAAAAAACATAAAAGAAAATCAAGACTGTTCAAAGCGCAAAAAACACATGTTCACGTCATGTTCAAGGAAATTCAAACGAAGAGAAAAGAGAGTAGAGAAGTTTAGAGAAGTACAAGAACGAAGAAATGGAGAAGAGAACGTTCTAATGATGAAGAGTAGAGAGAAGAGAGAGACAGACTGGAAAGCAGTTCTACAGAAGACATGAGAGAGAAGAAAGGTGAGAGAATAGACAGAACGAAAATAGCAAAGACAAAGTCCACAACAAATTCAAAACAATGTCGATCTTGTTCACAAGTTCAACCATCAGGCAGGAACAGTCGCTCACAATGGTAGACGGGAAACCATGTGCAGCAAAGATGCGATGCAGGTGCTTGACTACTGCAACAGACGTAGTGGCGGTGAGTGGAATGACTTCGAGGTAGCGAGATAGGTAGTCGACAACTACTAGGTAAGTTGTACCATCGTGCTCCATCAGGTCAGCACCAATGGTTTGCCAAGGCAACGGTGGACGCTCGATGGGCTGAAGGGGCTCGGTCGGCTGAGGGCGGTACTTCAGGCATGTTTCGCATGTGGCAATCATGTTGTCGATCTGCCCTGCGAGGCCGGGCCAGCAAATCGAGTTGCGTGCCCGAGCCTTGCACTTGGTAGCACCCTGGTGTCCTTTGTGCAGCTTCTCCAGCATCTCGGCTTGCAGCGAAGGGGGTGTGACGATGCGGAAGCCGTGGTAGATGACATCTCGTTCGCAGGACAGGAGGTGACGTTCGTTGTAGTAGGGCTTGACGTCGTCCTCGGCGGCTTGTGGCGTTGATGGCCAGCCCTGGCGGATGTAGCGCAGCACCTTACTCAGGGTATCGTCTTGTGCAGTAGCGGTGGCGATTTCAGCAGACTTCCGGTCGGACGCGATCTCGCTGATGACGGCAGAGATATTGACTTGGATCTCTTCCTGCAGTGTCGGCTCAACGCTGTGTACTTCCGGAGCACGGGAGAGTGCATCCGCGACAACGAGCTCCTTACCGGGTACATAGACGGCTGTCGGTGCGTAGGCCAGGAGGCGCATAAACAGACGCTGGCATCGTAGAGGCACACGGTTGAGGTCTCTCGTGTTGATGAGGGGAATGAGCGGCTTGTGATCGGTTTGCACAGTGAGAGATGGACACCCATAGACATAGCTGTAAAATCTCTCACAGGCCCAGACTACAGCAAGACACTCCTTCTCGATCTGTGCATATTCGCGCTCAGTGTCGGTGAGGCTTCTCGACGCGTAAGCGACAGCTCGGGTCTCAGAGCCGTGCTGTTGTAGTAAAACCGCGCCCAACCCATAGCTGCTGGCATCGGCACTGACAATTGTGGGGCGGGATGTGTCAAAGTACACCAGGCACGGAGCTGTGGATGCAAGCTGCTTCAGGGAATCCAGCGCTGCTTGCTGGACTGGCGACCATTGCCATGCGGTGTCGTCACGTAGTAGACAGCGTAGTGGTGTGTTGACGTCCGACAGATTTGGGATAAAACGTGACAGGAAGTTGAACATTCCAAGGATTCGTCGTAGCTCCGTCAAGTTCGTCGGTGCCGGCAGGTTCTGCAGGGCGGAGACTCGTGCTGGATTCGGTAGGACCCCACCGGCCGTGACAATGTGGCCGAGGAAGGTCACTTGGCTCTGGCGGAAGCAACACTTGTCTTTGTTGAGCGTCACGTTCGCCTCGCGCAACACAGCTAGAACGGCCGCCAGGTGGCGGTCATGCTCTTCCATCGTCGTACCAGACACAATGATGTCATCCATGTAAACGGTGACTCCTGGCAGGTGGTCCAGAAGGTTGGAGACGCGACGCTGAAAGATCTCCGGGGCCGATGTAATGCCGAACAGCAGCCGCTTGAAGTAAAACCGTCCGAATGGAGTGATGAAGGTTGTCAGGCGGGCTGTCTCCGGATCCAATGGGATCTGCCAAAACCCATTCGCTGTGTCCAGGGTCGTGAACAGTGAACGCGACAGTGTGTCATCAATGGTTGGCAGCTGGTACGTCTCGCGCTTCACGGACGCGTTTAGGCGTTTCAAATCGACACACACGCGTACTTTGCCAGTGGGCTTGAGGACTGGCACCATGGGGAAACACCAGTCGGTTGGCTCTTCCGCCTTCTCGATGATGTCCCCCTCCCGTATGCGATTCAGTTCCTCCCGGACCTTGCCGAACAGGTGGTGCGGCACTCGCCGGGGTGCGACGCAGTGATACGGGGTGGCATCCGGCTTCAAGTGAATCGTGACTGGCGGACCCACCATGCACTGCACCAAGGGTGTTGACGTTGGACTGTGTACCGTGTCCAGGCGCTGGACAAGACCCAATGTTGTGCAGGCAGAACGACTGAGCAAGCTGGTGCTTGCACGTCTTCCAGCACAGCACGATGGGTATGCTAGTGGACTGCTAGTGGGGGGGGGACTGGCAGTGTTTGTGAGTGCAGTGTGCCTGGACACCCACCCACTGACCCAGCGTGACAGTCATCAGGGGCTGGTCGTCGTCACCTCCCTTCAGGCTTGCAGTGGGGGCAGACAGAGATGGCTTCGGCTGCAGTGTATTGTAACACTCCACAGCCATGGTGGAGACATCACCACCTGTGTCCAGCTTGAAAGGCACGTTGCTGGTGCCTATTGAGAGGTTGGCCATCCATGGGGCACTGGCTGAAGTGCCTGTAGTGCTGCCCACAAACAGCGATGTGGATTGATCCGAGTGTGATTCATGGCTGCCTCCGTGGTTGGGCTCCTGAGTGGCTGCAGCAGCACTACTGGTGGCAGGCTTCGAGCGGCACACTCACGTGAAGTGATTGCGCTTTTCGCAGGCCGCACAGGTCCGGCCGCTCGCAGGACACTGATCGCGATGTTCGTGGCGAGCGCCACCACAATTCTGGCACTTCGACGAGGTCGAGTGGGCAGAGGCTGACTCGAATCTGGACTTGCCACGTCCGTGCGCTCCGACGGCTGACGCTGAGGAGTCGAGTGTGGCAGAGTTCTGGCCACTGCGGGCCTGGGTCGCGACTTGTTGCTGGACAGCTTCAGCCTGCCGTGCGAAGGCGAGAACTTTGGAGAGAGTCTGCTCCGAATCTTCCTTCATTGGGATTCCGCGGCTGACGCGCGTGTCCATCATGTGTGCGACAAAGCGATCCCGGATCCTGTCGTCCTTGGTGCCAGCGAAATCACAGTACTCGGCGGCTTTGTACAGCTGACGGACAAACTCTTCCACGGTTTGGCTTGGTTGTTGGACAATTTGTTCGAATTTCGAACGTTCGTGGACGATATTGGTAGACGGACGGAAGTGCCCATCGAAGGCCTTGACCACGTCGTCGTATTTCTTCTTCTCATCTGCAGAGAGGCCCAGTTGAAAGTCAAAGACCGAGTCGGCGCTGGGTCCGAGCGCATAGAGCAGGGTGGCCACTTGCGTCTCCTCCGAATCGGCGGTCAGTTTCGTTGCAGCACGAAATCTTCCGAAACGCAGCTTCCACGCCTGCCACTGGTCTGGTGAGCTGAAATCCAGCGCGGAAGGAGGCTGGAAACGAGCCATCACCTCTTTTCCCTTCGCACGGACTAGACTACAGCCCCACTTCTGACACCATGTAACGACTCTCTGTCGTCAACCAAGACACACAAGACTCCTCGGTCCAGTTTACAACTAACTTCAAAGTTCAAAGGCAACAAAAACTCTTCTAAAACCGTTATGCAAACCCTCTAATACCTAAGTAACACATGTGGGTGGGGGTGCAGCCTAGCAGCTCCATTTCTAACTTGTCTTGCAAATCAAGGACTGTACGCATGATAGCTGCCGAGTAGTATTATCATCATTATTATTTTAATGGTTGTGGAAGTATGGTTGTGGAAGTGGTTCCCAATGACTTTCTTTCTTTCTGTAAATGCTTGGCTACAGGATATCGGGTGGTCACGATTCCAGCTGGGCGAATCTATCCGCCTAGTCATTGTCGCGACTAATGGACGTTTCCATTCACAAGGAGATGGCGTGGTAGGTCATTTCAGAATGTATCATCAATTATACGTTCAATGTAGCCACCATATGGGCCATCCAAAGCAAAAACAGACCTAAGGGCCCACTCATGCACTCTGAGTGCCACTGTCGACAAGCAAACATGCAGTCCCCAGTGCCACCGTCGACTTTCATCGACAGGCAGACTTCACCCAGTTTGGGCCGCTATTTTTGAATATTGGAGATGTTTAGCCGTGGTAGAGGGCCACTGGGCCATGGAAGAGGTCTATACCCATCAAAATACACTGCCAGAAGTATAGGTTGCCATTTCAAAAAATTGAACCAGCGTCGTTGAAAACGCGCATCCAATTTTTAGCCGAGCGGCGCGGAAGAAATCGGTTCTCACACACTTCCACCTCGCTGAGTCGATGCGAGTTTTTTTCTCTTTCCCATCAACTTTCATTGCAAGGAGCATGAGATTTGGTTCAGACTTGATGCCTAGCCATTGCCCAAGACTCCAGGCGGGTATCAATTGCGATAGGCGTTTGGAGTCACGGGTAGAGACTACCAGACGATGGATTCCTCACGAACGCATTCACTGCAAACTTGACGGAAACAGCTCTGGCGGCGCTCACTGGGTCCAGAACTAAAATTGTATAAGAACTACCACGTTACAATGGCAACCAGCATAGTCAAGAGACACTACAGGTATGTCGGCTACAACATAATTACATGTATATTCTTTCTACAACGACACCTACCTCCGGCTCAATACCTGACGATCTACTGCAAGCTGATGTGAAAGTGCATTATACCCGCCAACGCCGCGCTTGTCAACGGAACAGGGAAGCGATTTACTCTACGAAGTTGAAAATTATTTGGACTGCTGCTAATTGGGAGAACAAACGACCACTATGGCGGCAGAACATTCCGCAGCTGTTCACCGACACGATCCGCTTCACCAAACGACTTATGATCGTTTTGTTCTCCGAGTTTCCTGGTGGCAGCAACAAGAATTTCGTCCGCAACGACAGGACGAAAGTCTCTCGCAACTGAAGTCCTGTTGCCATGAAGACAGAGAAGATTCCGCAAGCCATCTCTTCTGCTTCCTGTGTTGTAGCTCTCCGGTCCGCTGGCAGATCTTTCAATCCCAGTGAACAAAAAAAAAGGATCTGCTTCTCTCTCCGCAACAACAACTAACTTTACTTCGCAAATGTCCGGGCCGGTCGTGTACGTAGTGTATGTAGTGCATGCGGCGAACGGCGCACTTTCGCATGACATGACAATTGACATGCATGTTTGCACAGCGGCTGGCGCTAGAGCGCGCAGCACGTTTGTACTTCGAATTTTGCGATTTGTTTCGACAGCAATGGCTTCCTTTATGAGTTGTCTACCTACGAAGTATACTTTGGAAAGCGATGTTCCGGACAAAATTCCGTACAGAAAGTACTAAAAAATCCATGAGAAGTTGGCCTTTCGATTTTTCGAGCTGGAGGTAAAAATGCCTGGCAGTACAGCTCAGCTGACAACCTGGCAGGGAGCGCCTTGTCACCTTGAGTGGTCAGCTGGCAGTGGAAGGGTTAAAATACAGTCAAACCTCGTTAGGACGAACACTGATAAGGCGAACTTTCCTTTAGTACTGACTAGGGCCAACCCTATGGTTGGCCATGCATCATATCAAGTCAAAATAGTTCGTTTACGAAGAACTCTGTATGGCGAACTTTCGTGAAGACGAACTAATTTCAAGCGTGATTTGAACGAAATCAGCGTGTAGTACGAACTTTCGGTCCCCGTGGTTACGCTGGCTGTAGTTTTTCCCGATAGTCGAGGCCTCTTGTAGTGGCAAAACATGTTACAAGGCGGATGTAATGCTGTCATGAATTCCTTACACTTTGTACTTACCTGTTGCTGGGTTATGTTATGAAAAAATGTTTTACATTCGCCACAGCATGCACCTTCACAAAAATACAATCCATATGATATGCATATCAATTTTTGTCAGATCTGGATAAGAAGAACTCCCGATAAGACAAACAAACTTGTTCGGTCCCTTGAAGTTTGTCCTAACGAGGTTTGACTGTAGAAGAGAATAACATGGAAACTAGTTCTGAAGCAACTATCCGCGACTGTAACAAGATAAAAAGCAGTCAGACAGTCAGGTCGTTGAATGTCTCAGTAGCCTGTCCGTGTTGTGCCCTGTTATCGCACTTTCTGACTGCTTATTATCTTTGTTAGGAACCTCCTCCCGTGCAATCGACAACCTTTCCCAAGCTGGCCTACATGCACCCCGTGCTTACCTTCGTACTCACCTTTCGTTCCGTTGGCCTGGGTAGTGTAATAGGTGTATTTATGCTACGACCTGTACATACTCACTACTCGTATTTCCCGCTCGTTCCCCTTGGCAATGAGAGCCACTCACGTATAGAAGAGCGCATGCTCCAGTGGGTCTCCAGTTCTAGTGCTGTCTTGAGTTGTCGTTGTCCTGTTCTCCTTTTCATTCCTCTCTATACTCTTGTCGAAATACTTCCATATTCAATACTATAAAACCCCTGTGTTCTGGTGTGAGGGGACTTCTTTAGCCGGGAGCTAACAGTAGCTACTTGCGTGCCCATATTTGCTATAGCTACCCAGGCCCTTTATCTTGCATTTTCTCTCACTCGATCTCTCTCTCTCTCTCTCTCTCTCTCTCTCTCTCTCTCTCTCTCTCTCTCTCTCTCTCTCTCTCTCTCTCTCTCTCTCTTCCATAACCATAATGTAGTCTTTTAGTTCGTCTGTCTCTCGTCTCTAATAAAATTAATGTCTTTCGACCTACCCGTTCCTGTGTCCGTTGTGTCTGGGAGGATAACACCTCGTTACTCAACATCTTCTTACAGTCGTGGATGGTTGCTTCATAACTCGTTTCCATGTGATTTCTTCTATTTTGAATTGTTTTTGAGTGGAAATTGTTCATAGGGACATAATGAACCTCTGTACAATATTTGAGACTGATGACACTATAACAGTTAGAACATGCTCAAAATCACTTCAGTTCTGTACAAGCAGAAAATTTCGTCGGTCAATAATTTCGTCCAACTCCAAAGAAAGAGAGTTCGTCCGGTTGTAAATTTCGTCCATGGATCATATAAGAGTGTATTTGTCATGGCCGCGTGTTGGCGGGTTTGTGACTTGGCTTACATCTGTTGCGAAATTGTATTACGACTATGTTTTACGCATGTTGTTGTATTTGGTTCTTGTCTTGTAGAGTCCAGTGTCTGATGTCATATATGGTCTAAGTGTACGTGCGAGTATGGTGTGATGTGTGACGTTTATGGTATGTGGTGCATGCAAGAGTACGCGTTGTCAGAGTGTGAGGATCTGCTTCCGTCTGTGTGAGAGTGACTGTCAAGTGAATGCTGTACATGCGCAGTGCTAGTTTGGTCTGGGAATGAGAGTCATGTGTGATTCGTCCGTGGTCTGGTTGTCTTGGTCTTGGTCATGTGTTCTGTACGTACTTGGTCCGACTTATTAAAATGTGCGTTTCGCTTCGAACGTCTGCCAAACAAATTCAAAAATAATCTCAGGACGGAACAACTTTCCAGCTACCTAACACTATCCTTCAGTTGTCGATTTGTGATGTTGAAGAAGAAATGGTTCCAACCCCAAAGTAGGCAGCGCCTCAGGATCCTAGTCGACTCGAGCATTTTGCGTGCAAATTTTGTCGTCGAGGACTCCTGTTGCTTCTCGCGCAACACAGAGAAGGTCTGGTGTTGAAATCAACACCCCACTGCGATGGGGAATTGTCACGGAGTACCAGAAACCCCTGGGCGATCGTTCTCGAGTGCTTCCTGGCGGATTGAAATCGCTGCAGTCGCTCTTTCCTTGGAAGAATCAAGTTCAGCAAACGCGTCATTCAGAAACTCGTGCAGAAAGCACCTGCATCGCTCCGTCCAGTTTGTGCTGATCTCTCTCGCATTCGTTCACGATGTGGCGGCCGACGAATCAAGATCACAGAAGAGATCGTCGAGAAGTTGATCGATATCAACAACCGCCCTTGCAGTTGAGGTCGACTTTCAGGCGACAACCTGGCTGGAAAACTGAAGCGCAGAAAGGGTGAATACGGTGCGTGAATGGTGCGGAGTCCTCGCCGACTCCTCGGAGCCGCGATCGCGATTCGTCACAAGATCGCCAGTCTCCGGGGCCAGTGGATTCGTGAAACAGGCAGGGAAGAGCACGCATGGTCTGATGCAGCTGACTGTGTGACAGTCATGTCGACACAGATCAGACTCAGTAGTTCTACGCGCGCGGCACACGGTGATGAGAAGTGATTTTTTTTATGGGTGGTGGTTTACTTGTTCGCCTCATTTGAAAGTGTCGCGGGAGCGTCAGGCGAAAACACCTACAGCCACCATTCTGGCAGTCGTACTGCACGAGGAGGAGGCGAAGTCGATCGTCTAAATCGTGCCTATGGAGTGAAAAAATCAAGGAAGCGCAGTGTAGCTTGGAGGAGATGAAAAAAATGTCGACGTTTTGCAGGTTGGCGCACTTAATGAAGCGCCCTGAGACACCAGCAGAGATGAAAACTAGAAGGTCAGGCCAAGAAACGACACAGTAGTTATCTACCTATCGTCTCTTGGTCGATTTTTTAGTACAGGTGCTCCTTTGTACATATGCTTGAGTTTTGAAGCGAAGCGCACATTTTAATAAGTCGGACCAAGTATTAGTCCCTGATTGGTCGTCCCGATTTGCCGTCGCAATATTACTGCTTGTTCTTGGTTGATTCTTCGTGTCTTTTTCCTCACATCAGTCTAGTGGCTACCCACTGAGACGACCAATATAGTCGCCATCCAAGTTAGCTAGCTCGGACAGAACAACAGGTTTCTAATTCCACTTGAACAGTGTTTATTGAACCATTGCAATGCTAGATCGAAAGATCAAGCTTGAAGAGTCAAAGACCCAAAGCAGGGGAGAGTCGGAATGTCTCTCCCAGAATCGAAGGAGTAGTGAGTTCCCCGAGAGTCGAGGATGAATGCCAGCAAAACAGCTCCTTATGTATGCTACATTATGTGCTGAAAAGTATACAGCGGCAAGAATGCGTAAGGATTATTTCTATATTTCAAACGGTGGTGCAATCAGCCAAACTAGAATATAGTACAAAGATCAATACGGGGAGCCCGCTCACCCAAACGTCAATATTACTGATCTCCAAATGCTGGCATGATCTTGGTCCACGATCCGGTGGCTGGGATGCACTGCATTGCCGCAGGCGGGAAGCGTAGCTGTGTCACTCTTGTGGCTTCACCCAAATGGGCTCTTCCCCCAAACATAGCTGCAGGCGGCAATGCCGTGTTTCCTCCAAAGGGTACGGAGTCCACAGTACACGAAGCACTGCAGACCCTTTACGTCGTACGACGCGAGAAGAGGCGCCACTCCTGCTCAACTAACAAGGGTATCTCGGGTTGAGAACGAGCTGCCTCTACTATACCCTCGCCACGCCACACATCAAACGGACTAGTCAAGTGGTTTTCTCTATTTCTAGAGAGAGAGCTTTTCTTGTGTTGCACTTCAGGAGGCGACTGGAGAACTGAACTCCCACCAGACAGGACGAGAGAATTATAATGTGGGGACGTGGAAAAAGTGGGGCGATGGAGACAAAAGAGGTGCTCAAAAGTGGGGCGCGGAGGCGAAATAGGTGCATGTGAATAGTACACCAAGTCCCGAACGGGACGGGAGACAAAGACGGCCGGCGAGGAAATACGACGGACACAAGACGGCAATCGGACAAATACAACGGAGACAAGACGAGAACATTGCACTATGGCTCGAAACAAACTACGGAGACTATGTTTGTTGTGGAGGACTCGGCAGTCCGCATGCCGTCACTGTTGAGCGAGAGTGCCTCCATTGAACTGGGTCTCTTATCTCTGCCAGAAGCCTCTGTGAATGCCGCCACAACGGAGGAGACGTCCTCACTTCCGGCTATGCGTGGACCCATCACGATACAGATGGCCGATGATCACCGCCCACGGCAACAGTCAGCACGCCGGGTGGCACCGGCCCAAATGCCTAGTCTCCGGGACCAACTTGAGTCATGGCTGAGCCAAGGAGTGGTGGAGATGGTCGAAGAAATCCTGCCGGGCGATTATGTCTCTCCTTTGGGGGCAGTACCAAAGCCAGATAAGTCGATGCGCTGGTGTGTGGATTTGCGCTGTGTAAACCAAGCAGTCAAGCGACCAGGAGTACAGCTACCAACTACAGACGACCTGCTAGCACAACTTGGGAATGCAGAGTATTTCTCGAAGCTAGACCTCAAGTCAGGATATTCCCAGCTGGAAATCACACCGGAGTGTCATCATGCGTTTGTGGTAGCGTCACCACTCGGTTACTTTCGTTTCTGCCGGCTTCCGTTTGGTGTCTCCAGTGGCCCTGAGCTATTCCAACGGAAAATGGAACAGATTCTGGCTGGCATCGACGGCGTCGTCATTTACCTGGACGATATCTTGGTCTTTGATCCTACCCAAGAAGAGCATGACCGTCGTCTCAAGATGGTCAGAGAAGCATTGACCAGGTATTGTGTCACTCTCAATGAAAAGAAGTGCGCATGGAATGTCACCGAGCTCACGTTTCTGGGTCATGAAGTCTCTGCCGCAGGTGTTCGCCCAAGCCGTGCTAAGGTAGCCGTACTTCAGGATACACAGGATCCTACCAATGTCTCGGAGTTGCGTTCGTTCATGGGCCTCGCGACATTTCTTCAGAAGTTTGTGCCCAACCTGTCGGAGATTATGGCACCACTCACTCATCTCCTTTGCAATGAATGGCACTGGTCTAGCGAGTGTGCTGAAGCAGCCGCAGCTATTCGCAGCTATTTGCAAACTGAGCCAGTCCTCACCCTGTTTGACCCGTCTCGGCCCACTCTTATCGAAGTAGATGCCTCAGGGTACGGTCTCGGTGCTGTTCTTATGCAGCAAGTCAGTGCAAGCCCCACTGAAGTTGCCTGTTGGAAGCCAGTGTATTATGTCAGTCGAAAGCTCAGCGATCCAGAATCTCACTACGCCACCATCGAGCGAGAAGCACTAGCTATCGTCTGGGGAGTGCAGCGTCTTCGTTCCTTTGTCACTGGCATTGAGTTCACTGTGGTCACAGACCACAAGCCACTCCAAAATGTTTTCAAACCAGAGTACAACCTGAGCTGCGCTAGTCTTCGGGTACAGCGTCTTCTGCTAAAGGTTCAGGATTTGTCATTTGCTGTACACTATCGTCCCGGCAAACAGAATGGCTTGGCTGATTTCTTGTCTCGTGCGCCTGTTGAGGACGCGGACATCAACTTTCTAGTTGTTCATCACGTGACAACCGGTATTGGTATGCCCACAGATGACCGTCGACGTATTGCCGAACAGACAGCAGCTGACCCAACGCTGTGTGCAGTGCGAGATGCTTTGCGCAGCCCTCACTGGCCAAGACAGCCAATCCTGGGACCCTACGAAGCCATCCGCCATGAGTTGAGTGTGTGGCAATTTCCCGGGGTGGATGGGTTTCTCATTCTCCGCGGGGAGAGAGTTGTCATACCAACAGTAGCACGTACGACAAAGAGACACAAGCGCAGCCACGTGTACGACAAAGAGACACAAGCGCAGCCACATGTACGACAAAGAGCTACACGCGCAGCCGCATGTGCAACACAGAGCTACAAGCGCAACCACATGTACAACACTAAGCGTGGTCCCTTCAAGCTCAACAGTGCAGTAGGTACAATGCTGATGACTTGTACTGAAGGTGTTGCCGACGTACGACAAAACTTTGCGGCTCTAGGCCACGAGTTGTAAGCCATGATTGCTGAACTAACGAAAGTGCCAAATCCTTCGCAGGACTAATCATGGTTCTTACTGAACTCTAGTATATTTCGGAGCCCAGCTTTTGGCTGCTGAACTCAATGCGTGGTCGCTTTCACGACGAGTCTGATCCGGGTCATGACATATTGAAAAGCTGGACAAATCGACATTAGTCCGGCATTTAATTTAGTCCAAAAGCTCCTTGGACGATAAAGACGAAAATAAATTCCAGACGAGTATTTCTGCTTATAGTATGTTATATGGTCCATTTTATACTATTGCGAACAGTGGTTTTTGTCTTCCACCGCTGTCTACTGTAAATACACAATGTTTTCTAAGCCCAGGTGGCTTCATGGCCTTGGCTGAGGTGTGGTAATACTTCCTTGTTGAGGTAGAAGCGGCGGCGCTGTTGTGACAATCCACTGGGAGCGTGGATGCTGTTGTGACAATCCACTGGGAGCGTGGATGCTGTCCCTGCTGAGTTGACTGACCTGTCATTGTTTCTCCCTATATACCTTCTACATTCAGTTTGGTGGGGTGCTTCGCAGAAGTGATGGCAAGTGCCACTTGGACTCTAATGGTCATTACACCGAAACGTTAACTGCGGTAAGAGTTATTAGTTTTGTGATTGCTGATTGTGGAGTCCTGATGCATTGACAGCCCCCCCCCCCCCCCCTTCCACTCGCAGCACTTCGCCAGCGCTCGCTTTGCAGAGATCGAGCGCATCCCCTGCACAATGCTGAGCAAAGCTGAAGTCAGAAACGGTGGAGAGAACATAAAAGCTGATGCTTGCATTTGGATCGGCACACTACGTGCCTACGACTTCACGCATTCCTGCACACCAATGTCCAACACTCAGCAGCAGGCTGTCAAACGCTTTCCAGGTGCAATTGTTGTGAGGATCAATGAACAAAATGAATTGTCTTGGTACATGTACATCTAGTAGTGTTCACGCTCAAGACTGAGCCTTGTCAACAAGCAGGCATGAGATAAGAAAGAAAATGAGCTAATGGAATCACCACCACAGGGTTTACGATCTCAAACTGGGGAGACTAGTTGAACTTCGAGCCGTGATGCTACAGCTGTCAGAGCGGTTTTTCCACTCCCCGTTACTCAAAGCGATATGCAGCTTGCATAATTTGGTATTGCAGGTTCTCCTCGCGGACCAAATGTCCCTTGTACACATATTACACACAGCGTGTTCACCATTGTGTTCGACTTCTGCTCCAAGAATGCTTCAGGTGATTTCGTATCGATTTATCGGCTAGGTTGTGCCGTGCTACTTTACGTTTGGCAGGTCGCCATAGCAACTGACCAAGCAGCAACACAGAAGCTACAACTGTCTTTTCTGATAGAAATCTTGGGAGCTGTTACAATTTGCTCTGCGTAACCCACGTAGACATTGCTCTGCATCACCCGCGTAGACATTGCTCTGCACCACCCGCGTAGACTTTGCTCTGCATCACCCGCGCAGACATTGCTCTGCACCACCCGTGCAGACATTGCTCTGCATCACCCACGTAGATTTTGCTCTCCATCACCCACGTAGACTTTGCTCTGCATCACCCGCGCAGACATTGCTCTGCATCACCCGCGCAGACATTGCTCTGCATCTCCCGCGTAGACATTGCTCTGCGTCACCGGCGTATAATTGATATCTGTGTTGATCATCCTGAGGCCATTTTTCAGTCAGGGTCGTACATTTCTCTTGGATTGCTGTCGGAATATCAGCTGTTGCTACTGCCGAGGTGACACAATGGCCCATTGCATCTGCTAGGCATGTTATAGCGTGTGGAACCATTGCGTGCCCACCCTTTGTCAAAAGGCGTACAGGGCTGACTACTTTCGGCTTACACAGTTCTTCCATTTTTGTAGTGTATAGTGTTTATTGCCGCCTTGTCTCTCTCCGTGCTGTCTCTCTCTCATCTGTATTACATGCGCATGCTCGTTGTAAATAGAATCAGTCCTTGTCTTGTCACACAATGGACTCCTGCTTGGCTTGCAGGCCAAACCGGACATGGTGGTAGCGGTAGGATTCAAACCCACGCCTCCGGAGAGCCTGGAGCCCCCCCCCAAGCCCACCTCTCTTGGCTCACTGGTGGCGCTATGTACCGGATTTTGCAGTTGAAGTGTTCAGTGATCTAGCAGTTGGATCAAAGCCAATTTTCCGTTCCATGAAATGCAACACGCACTTTGCCGACTTCAGTATGAACTCTTTTTTGGATTGAGAAATAGCACTATACGATGCAATTCAACTTACAAACCTATATGTACATGAACTGCTTCAAGTTTGCTTTGGTGAACTGATCCCCCCCCCCCCCCCCCCCCCATAACAGGTGGACTAGCTATGGCGCTCAGTTGCAACACTGACAATGAGATTTTCTGTCATATTGTACAGGACTATCCTTCACTCGGACAAGTGAAAAGTGCACTGGATGAGGCAGACATAAATGTTTTCTTTGCCATTGCCGAACCAGCCGGAGTTGACCCTATTGTGGAATACCAGGTTAGTACTCACTAAACAGCTTGAAAATGATGACGTCAGAAGTCAATATGTAACAACGTATGGGCCAGACTGGATATGACCTGACCATAGTCAACAGCATGTGGTGGGTAGCCCCCCTCATCTCTCATACTTGTGTAGCGTATAGCGTATCCCCGTACGTTAGCATATCCCCGTACGTTACTGTATTCCCGTACGTTAGCGTATCCCCGTACTGTATCCCCATACGTTAGCGTATCCCCGTACATTAGCGTACGGAGTCTGCCTTTGCATAAAAGCTGCTGCTCACGATTCTTTTATAGCCAGTTAGTTAATTTAGTTGCCAGTCAGTTAATTTCGCTTCCAGTACATTTCAATTGCCAGTTACAGTGTGTTCACTGAGACCCTTGTATTTTTGCCTCCGAGAGACTGCGGCCCGCTACAAATTGGTGACAGCGGTAAATTCATTTTGTTTCATTCTATACCTAACTTTGTTACTTTACACGTTTCTCCGATTCAATGGCTCAACCGAATGTACCTGCCGTGGTACCCGTCGTTGCACCCGCTGCAGCCCCAGCTCCGCCCGGTCCTGCCCAACCACCGAGAGCTGCGTACCATGTGCAGCCCGAAAAATACAAAGGTCGCCTGGGGGACAACTTCGCGTCCTGGCTGATGCATTTCGACCAGGTCGCCGCGGTAAACAACTGGACCCCAGTTCAGCAGACGCAGTTCCTGGGCCTCGCACTGGAAGGCGAGGCCCAGCTGTATTACCAATCGCTTCCAGCGGCCACCAGGAACGGAGGCCACCAACAGCTAGTCCAGGCGCTGCAAGCTCGGTTTGATCCAGCGCAGCGCGTCGACCTCCATCGCGCAACGTTTCAAGCTCGTCGCCAGGCCAAAGACGAACAACTGGGTACTTTCTGTGAGGCGGTTCGCTCCCTGGCCCGGCAAGCTTACCCCCAGATGGCCGCGGGGGACCTCGACAACCTAACAAAAGACCAGTTTATCTCCGGGCTTGACTCGCGGGGCATGCGGGTCCGCGTTCAGGAGCTAAACCCGCAAACGACAGACGGGGCCCTCCAGGCCGCGCTCCATCACCAGGCAATCCTAGCTGCCGAACTGCCCGCCGCGGAACCTGTGCCGATCCCTGCCTTTGCTGTTTCCCAGCCACTCGACACGGTGACAGACCAACTAAAAGCTGTGTTAGACCGTCTGGCTACGTTGGAGGCCAGTCTGCCAGGACCAATTCGTCGGTCCCGACCTGACCAACTACCACAGCCTCCGCAGACGCAAGGCCGCACACCTGTCACTTGCTGGTCATGTGGCCGACAAGGTCACATCAGCCGAGAATGCCGTGCCCGTCGTCCTGCGCAGGCGGGAAACTACCGGCGGCAGTACTAAGTACCTCGGACGCTAGCCCTGCCGCATCCTGCTCTTCCGGGACCTACGTAAGCACTGTGTTGATATGCCTTGCTGTCTTGCTCCTTGCCCACCCTGTTACGCTCACGATTTTAACTGTTTTGCTCACTGTGCTGTACCGCCACCGCCTCCCTGATGTACGTGCTTTTCTCCCCGACCTCTCCCCATTACACTTTTTTTCGTCGAGTTTGTCCCGACGCGACCATGCATGCCGCCTACCTGTAATACCCGTGACTGTGAACGCAGTCGATTCCAATGCTTTGTTAGACAGTGGGTCTTCCAAGTCAATTGTGAGCAAGAAGCTGTGGGATTCTCTGAGTAATCGCCCATCCCTGTCCCCTCCACCCCCCTCACGCATCCTTTCTGTGGATGGCTCGTCCGTGGCGATTTTAGGTCAAGCTGAGTTGCACATTTCTGTTTCGCCCACCACCCCGCCTGTCCTGCATGAGTTCTTAGTTGCCTCCATCCATCCCGAGGTCATTCTAGGGGTTGAATTTTTGCATGCCCAAGCGTGTTCGCTTGATTTCGCCGCTTCCAACATGTCCATTGCTGGTCACGTTATTCCCCTGCATTCCCCCACTGTGATCCCGTCACCTGTCCATGCCGCTTCGCTCTCCGCTACTCCCGTTTTATGCACGCTTCCCGCTGCTGTGACCGTCCCTGCCATGTCTCATTACATTTGCTCCGCAAAAGTTGCTTCCTGCCATTATTCTGATAGCCCCCTGCTGTTTGAGCCTTGTGAGTCTACCTGCAGTACTCACCACATTGTCGGCCTCGCTACTCTGGCTACCGTCACTGATAACATGGTGCCCGTCCGTCTGATCAACCCCAACGAGCAGTGAGGTCCAGAGATTGGAGCATTCCAGTGCATCCGGCGGGGATGAACACAACCTTGATGTTGTGTGCACCAAGCTTTTCCAGGACTAATGCACAGCGGTGGGCCTTGAATACATCCCACAAGAACAATCCTGGGGCATCAGTTGGCAGACCCAACTCCTCCCTCTGCTTGGCCATGAATGGAGATAGCACTTTCTCAATAAACTCCAACATCGTCTTTTCCGTGGACCAGTGGCTGTCGGAGGACATTTCTAGACGGGTGACAGCGGTTGGTGTTGCCAGCGTAAATCACTTGCGGCGGCAGCAGCTGACCACTCAGACTAACACCCAGTAGGATGGTGACCTCCCGCTTGTCGTCTAAGCCAGCTACGTCGATCTGCCAGCTCCCTTCATAGTCCAGCTGCTGACAGGCACCATCTTCGTACCTGTCTGGTCCGTGTTGACAACCATGCTGGGCGTGGTGTGCGTTTCCACTGGTTGCTTTGACCTTCTGCAGGAAGTCGCTCTTGATTGTTGCGAAGTCGGAAGGCACTTTCCTGGCGGTCCGAGTCCCTTTCCGTTTCACGTATCCAATTGGAGCAAGAAACGATGGTGCCCATGTTTTCTGAAGCGTCACGCTACCACCAAACTCCTTCAGCAAAGACACATTCTTGTGCTGGACGATGCCACCAGCTGCAGCCAGAACAGCGTTAGTGTTCACAGGAGTGGCAGCACATCTAAGGCTGAAAACAAGCTTCTGAACGAGATCATCCAGTTCCTTCGGTAGAAGGAGCGGATCACCTCGCGGACTGGCCGGCTTCGCGTCCACTTCGGCCAGCGTTTTCCCAGTATCCATCTGCTGTTTCGGATTCCGCTTGAAATTTCGGACGGTCGCTTCATGGACTGGATGTCTAAGCTCGCGAGTAAACGTCTGCACGGCGCTCTTGTTTCCGTACAGCAACGCTTGCTTGCCGGTTTTAGTTCGCACCTCGTTATCGTAGGAATGAGTCTTTGTCCTTTTCCGCTTCGATCCATCCTCGTCGTGATCCGCAGCGTCCACTACTTCAGACACAGCTCTCTTACCTACAGCTAGTGCCCGCTGGTCGTCTTCGTCCCCCTCCTGTCGAGGAGTACATACAAATCGATCAATTTAGCCTGTCCAATAGTGGTCAGTGACCCTTCAAGGGCCAGTAGCAACGAGGTTACGTCCTGAAATTTGGGGTAGACCACCGCCATAGTCTGCTACAATATGTCCCCAAGCAGAAAAATTCAAATTTCGAACTCTCCTAAGGCGATGCCGTAGCAGAATCCAACCTCTGGCAGGAAGGCACACACGGAGCGCCGTCATATGCCTTTTCGCTAAGGGGCGGGTTCCACTGCGGCTCTGCTGCTCCGCGGCACTTGGCTGCATGCAGCGGAGCAGCGCGGTTCCACTGACACTCGCCATTCGCGGTACCGCGTTCGTGCTCCACGTTTTACCTGCCTGCGCGTGCGAAATCAAAAAAAGCCTCGTGTTCTGGCCTGCGCAACGAACGAGAGAGCTTGGAAGCTCAGGGCCCTATGCTATGCTTTTTTGCCTTGATGACCTAGACAAAAAAAGCATAGGGATGTTATAAATTCTTATAAGTTTCTACTTTTTGTTTTTAGACATAACCTGGGATTCGAACCCGCACTATCGCCCTGCATGCATCCCCCGATACACTTCGCATACATACTAATTCTTCCAAGTTGCTTCACGTTATGATCTTGTATTTGAAAGCCCTATTTGAATATGCATTGTGGCCAGCCATCTTTGATTGTACGGTACGGTACGGGATAGGTACGGTACGGGATAGGTACGGGACAGGTACGGGACAGGTACGGGACAGGTACGGGACAGGTACGGTCGAGGGTAATACGACACCGTCTACCGCCTTGATGACGGCAAAAAAAGAAAAGGGATGTTATAAATTTTTCAATTCTCCTATTTTTTCAGGCATTACCTGGGATTCGAACCCGCACTATCGCCCTACATGCATTCCCCCATACACTTCGCATTCATACTCATTCTTCCAAGTTGCTTCACGTTATGATCTTGCGTTTGAAAGCCCTATTTGAATATTGCGGCCAGCTGTATGTGGCCAGCTGTGTTTGATGGTACGGTACGGTACGGGACAGATACGGGATAGCGCCAGGCGTGACACAAACACGCAAACACACAAACAAACAAACAAACACCAAACGAGAGAGCTTGGAAGCTCAGGGCCCTGCGCTATGCTTTGTTGCCTAGCTCATCGTGCATGTTGTTAGAACTGATGGAAATGCTTTTTCCTTTGATTAGCTAAATCATTGTTTTGCAAAAACGTTTCAATGAGATACTGAAGTACAAGTAACGTCTTCTGCATAGCTATGGGACCGGCGCTGACTCTGCCGATGACGGGCGTTCTGGAGTCGACGGGATGTCTGTCCTGACGTTTCCTGGGACCGGCGCTGACTCTGCCGATCACGGGCGTTCTTCTTCTTCTTCTTATTATTATTATTATACTGACGGCAACTAACATCCATTCTGATTGCATTTACTCGTCTCCCTACTTCGTATTTCTTTCCAGAAAATCTCCCCATACAGCAGGGAGTCGTTTACATAATATGACTCCCTGCTATACATCTACATGACTGTATATACGTTATAATTATTATGCTATCGGCCTACATGCGATTTCCGGGCTGGTCGACAGGCGGCCCAGCCAGCCTGCTAGTGGGATCTCGGCCTCGCACACAAATCCACACAAAATTTAATGTTACTGCACTGAATGCATTCCCCCCATACACTTCGCATATATACTCATTCTCTTGATGGTACCGTACTCTTGATGATACGGGACAGGTACGGGATAGCGCCAGGCATGTCGATGGCACAAACAAACAAAAATATTGTGGCCAGCTGTCTTTGCTGGTACGGTACAGTACGGGATAGATACAAAATAGCGCCAGGCGTGACACAAACAAACAAACACACAAACAAACACCAAATTAAAGCTGTGTGGACCCTGGCTAGCGCCAGACGTTACTGAAGTAACGTCTTCTGCATAGCTACGGGAATTAAAGCTGTGTGGACCCTGGCTAGCGCCAGACGTTACTGAAGTAACGTCTTCTGCATAGCTACGGGAATTAGAATTTGAATTTTAATGATAGCTTGCATGCCGTCCTACCAGTAGGACCGAAGAAATCGCGCTGCAAAAGTTATTTTGGTTGAGAAATTTCTTGAAAAAATTGTTGAGATGAGGTCTTTGTCAGGCAAATTAGTGGCGCAAAATGCAAGGCTATGTCCAGTGCATTGCGTATGCGCAATTTTAGCAATTTTCAAAATGGCCGCATATACTCCTGTCGGAGCACTAGCAACTCTGTCCAAAGTGAATTTTGACCATGGCACATCAATCTTGGTGAGGTCCTAATGTTTTTATTAGCTTGCCAAGGCAGCGGAATGCATAATTCCATACTCTGTTTCCATGGTTACCATGGGCTGTTACCATGAAATTTCGTAGCATGCCTTGTGCGATCACGTCTAAAATTTGTGGACTCCTTCATTAGCCCCTGAGCAACAGTTTAGGGTCAAGTTTTAGGTCAATTTTAGAACAGAGGCCATGCAGCATGTCTGTGTATGATGGTCCTACCGGTAGGACCGAGGTCTATACAAGCTATCATTAAAATCCTCGCGTACAAAACAATGCAAAGTACGGGAAATAGGTCGAGCCGCGACTGCGGCTCGCAGTTTTGATCAAGAATCGTAGCGAAAGCTCGTAGCGAGCCGCCGCCACTATGGTAATGATGACATTTCAAGCCGCGGATGACGAGCAGCGGAGCCGCAATGGAGCCCGGCCCTAAGCTACCAGCACTGAAGCATTGCAGCCCTGTAGTTACCACGTCAACATAAATCTCATTTCGGTGCACATTTGTCTTTTTTTTTAATGTTGCTAACGAGTCCTAGGTCCTAAGTAGCCCTGTACACATCTAGCCATTCTCTGATGGTTGTGTAGGCCCGGTACGCATCTAGCCATTCTCTGATTGTTGTGTTGGCCCTGTGCACTTCTAGCCATTCTCTGATGGTTGTGTTGGGCATGTTGATTGGTTTTGCTTCTGTTGACAGACCGTTGCAGAGGATTGGGGTGGACGCGCTCAGACAGCCAGACTCACTAGTAATGATACAGAGTTTGTGTCACTCGTATTCCGTGCAACGCAGGTATGTGGGCAAAGGAAAGAGACATTGACTTGATTTCCTCCAGTCAGGCTGAGATTTTCCTGGATTACATTCGGACATGATGATGATGATGATTATCTTGTTTATGCACTCAGATGTTGAGCCAATGTTATCATGGATAAATAAATAAAAGGACGAAATGTGGTGGAGCTAGGTGTCAGGTCGCTGAATGTCTCAGTACTCCTTGTCAGTGCCCTGTTGTCGCACTTGCTGACTGTATAATTATTATCTGGTTACATTGGTGGACAGTTGGTCATAACTCGGAACATGTTGTCCTTAAGAAAGGGTTTTCTCCCCACACCGGAGCTCGCGCTATTCCGCCGACTTTACTTGACACTTGACTGACTCACGACTGCCATCCAGAGCACACGAGAAGTCCATCGAATTTTCGACTCAGCAAACCTGCAAGAAAGCACCAGAAGGGAGTGGTGCTTTCTTGCAGGTTTGCCGAGTCGAAGGTTCGATGGACTTCTCGTGTGCTCTGGATGGCAGTCGTGAGTCAGTCAAGTGTCAAGTAAAGTCGGCGGAATAGCGCGAGCTCCGGTGTGGGGAGCAAACCCTTTCTTACAAATCATCGCCGAAGTCGCAGCCACTGCTTCGTAATGTTGTCCTTTTATATTTTTATCTTGTTTATGGTCAATTCTTTTTATATTCGCTAGTTGAGAGAATGGAAAAGGGCAAAGTCTGAAGAAGAATTGACTCTCGCCACCAGGACTCGAACCAGGGACCTTTTATTATCATAGCATTTCCTCGTTGAAGTATATAACAGGAGTGTGCTGAGTCCGCAGCTTAACTTTTGCCGAATGGTTTGGGTGAGAGGAGAGAAGAGAGGGTGCAGCAAGGCAACCAACATCTAATATGTCACAGTAACGTGAAGAGAACCAACGTACATGTGCATGACTGCACTAGAACGGGGAAGACAAAATGTCTAGAACCAGTGGAGAGGTTGCGCACAACGAAACTTCGTAGCGCAGTAACGAATATTTTTAGCGAAAAAAGTTAACCAAAATCCGTAAACCGTGAGGTTGCGCACAGCATGTGCACTTTTTTTGTAGTGGGTCGACGCCCGGGTACGGAGAGTCATGACAGGGAGTTGTAAAATATCAGTATTTTAGTACTCCACGTTACGAAAACATTTTCGTAGATCTGCTCTGTTTCGGTCGCGTTTGGACGGATCTTCGTAGCAACTTTCGTTACTCGAACCCGGACGGTCGAAATCTTCCGAATTTTTGTTGTGCGCAACCTCTCTATTGTTCAAATGGTCAATGGTTGACCTTTTTCAAAAAAAAATGTTTGCCATGCAATATGGAATGCTCTTCCGATTACTATAAGACAACATAATTTTAATAGCCTCTAAAACATTCGGCTGCATCACATGGCCATGACTAGCACGGCACAGTACAGTGACACAAAAATTCAAATATGACTGGCAACAATCAGGGTGGGGAAGTTAGTCTGCCGTATCAACCTCGCATAAAAATCAGGGTGATTTTGGTACCCGATCCGGCCAACGTTCCCTTTTGGGAACATATACATATTTCCATAACGCCTTGTCATATTTAGATCAAACTTATAGACATTCTTAAGAGAGCATGTCTGAGAATACCAAAGTATGTGTGCAAGTGGATCTCTCCGATTTCGCTCAAAATTTGCAGGTAGGTTCCCTTTGGGGTGTGGATCGATTATGCAAAGCCCTTGAAAAAGTTTCTGAAGGGAACCTTGAAATTTGCATACCCCTCAAAAATGGCCGAAATATCACATTATTTATGGGTCTAGAAACGAGTCACGCCACAGCGTATACGAACAAGCTATGAACAAAACTCCATCAAGCCAACATTGCCTCACCTTAGAAGAGTTCCTGGAGCAGTACCGCTTAGCCACGCCAGCATCCCAGAAGACGAGGTCCATCACCCCCTGACGCCACAAATGATCGTCTTGAAAATAGCCAATTTACAAGCGCTGGCAAAACAGCCAGCTACGTCCTCAATTGGCCAGAACTATACACCGGCAGATAGTAGAACACCTCTTCTAGCGCTGAGGACATGTCCCCCATCTTCCTTTTGGGGTTTTCTTGAAATAAACTTTTTTGAATTTTTCCACTCGACCATGCTGAAATACGGCCAAAGTCATACCTGCGCAGGAAAGCTCGCCACTCCGCGACGTCTCCTCAGCAATTTCTACTCCAACACTACTCCCAAGGCCGCAGAACAAAGTGTAGTGTTGACTCTGACAAGGAAAAGCAGCGGTGATCACTTGTCACTCCAAACGACAAGCTTCTCCTTGCGCCACCAATAATGTTTTGTGCGACTGTTGATGCAAAAGTGACTGAAGGCCTGAGCGCAGTTTTTGAATTTTATTGCAAGATGCACGGTGAAATCACGTGCCTTGTGACGCAAGAATGCCAAGTCGCGTGGCCCACGGCTCACGAGATTTCAGAGTCACCTTTGTCAAGTGCGCTTGTTACTCGTCTTGAACGCCCGTTGGTCTGGAAGTGATCACACTTGTGTTGTTACGGCGCTCAAGAACACGCTGACCGTGTTGTAGGCCTACGACCCGGGACTTTCCCTGACCATGTAGGTCGAAGACCAGTGAAATGATGATGAAATCACATTCTTTATGACGTAAGAAATCTCTCATGCAGTTCACGCGACAAGTGCGTGCAGCCAGTGCTGCTCGCGTGCACGCGTGCCAGTCAACACAAAGGGACCGAGCTAGTCGCTTTTGTCGAGCATCGACATGAAAACGCGTGCCAGTCAACACAAAGGGACCGAGCTAGTCGCTTTTGTCGAGCATCGACATGAAAACAAGGGGGTCAAGGGACTTTTACTGTTGGACTATGTTCGGGATTGCAGGAGGTAAGTGTGAAAGACGAATAACTCTCCATGCTGTACGGGGCATATTTCAACGGCTTGCTGCCATTGCAACACTCCTAGGACAGTTTGTGGGGGGTTCTCAGCAGTTCAAGCAGGAAATGAAGCTCATCTTACCTCTGCCATCATAGTCTGTTCCGAGTAGCGTTCCAGGCACATTCGCGATCGATGGCCGCGTAACGTGATGCAGGAAGCGTCATCCTACGTCACAGAGCACGCGATCTCACCGTGCATCTTGCAATAAAATTCAAAAACTGCGCTCAGGCCTTCAGTCACTTTTGCATCAACAGTCGCACAAAACATTATTGGTGGCGCAAGGAGAAGCTTGTCGTTTGGAGTGACAAGTGATCACCGCTGCTTTTCCTTGTCAGAGTCAACACTACACTTTGTTCTGCGGCCTTGGGAGTAGTGTTGGAGTAGAAATTGCTGAGGAGACGTCGCGGAGTGGCGAGCTTTCCTGCGCAGGTATGACTTTGGCCGTATTTCAGCATGGTCGAGTGGAAAAATTCAAAAAAGTTTATTTCAAGAAAACCCCAAAAGGAAGATGGGGGACATGTCCTCAGCGCTAGAAGAGGTGTTCTACTATCTGCCGGTGTATAGTTCTGGCCAATTGAGGACGTAGCTGGCTGTTTTGCCAGCGCTTGTAAATTGGCTATTTTCAAGACGATCATTTGTGGCGTCAGGGGGTGATGGACCTCGTCTTCTGGGATGCTGGCGTGGCTAAGCGGTACTGCTCCAGGAACTCTTCTAAGGTGAGGCAATGTTGGCTTGATGGAGTTTTGTTCATAGCTTGTTCGTATACGCTGTGGCGTGACTCGTTTCTAGACCCATAAATAATGTGATATTTCGGCCATTTTTGAGGGGTATGCAAATTTCAAGGTTCCCTTCAGAAACTTTTTCAAGGGCTTTGCATAATCGATCCACACCCCAAAGGGAACCTACCTGCAAATTTTGAGCGAAATCGGAGAGATCCACTTGCACACATACTTTGGTATTCTCAGACATGCTCTCTTAATTGGTTCAATACAGTCCAAGATAACCAAAAAAAGTTCTCACAATTGAGTGATTTCTGGTGTTGGCCAAATTAAGGTTAAGCCTAAAAAATCAAATTTTCACCAGTTGTAGTCTTCGGGGTGCCGAGTCGAATGGTCTTGGTCCGAGGAAGCTGAGACGCTCCGTTCCTCCTTTATTCCCAATCGAACTCGCGCACTTCCACCGAAACTGGGTGACTGCACCCTACTAGATGGGGATTTGTATACAAAATGTCACTAAAAGCGCCATTTCGCTCTTATAAAAGCACGGATGACCGCGATTGGCCCATATGTTATAGTCTTTTGGATGCTGAGTCGACTGGTTTTGGTCCGAAAAGGCTGCGATGCAGTGTTCGGGCCTTTTTCCCAATCGAACATGGTTGAACAAGCGGTCACGTGCTCCTGCGTACACCAGTCACCTGGTCACCGTGCCCGCAGGGTACAACTAATTACTTACAGCCTGTTTGGATGCATTCCTGTCACTCGAGTTGAACTCGAGTTGAACCTTGGTGTGAAAAGTATCGCCTGCTGGCGCGGTGACCAGGTGACTGGTGTACGCGGAAGCACGTGACCGCTTGTTCAACCATGTTCGATTGGGAATAAGGCCCGAACGCTGCATCGCAGCCTTTTCAGACCAAAACCGGTCGACTTAGCATCCAGAATACTACAACATATGGGCCAATCGCGGTCATCCGTGCTTTTACAGAGCGAAATGGCGCTTTTAGTGACATTTTGCATACAAATCCCCATATAGTAGGGCACAGTCACCCAGTTTCGGTGGAAGTGCGCGAGTTCGATTGGGAATAAAGGAGGAACGGAGCGTCTCGGCTTCCTCGGACCAAGACCATTCGACTCAGCACCCCGAAGACTACAACTGGTGAAAATTTGATTTTAGGCTTAACTTCCCCTTTAAAAAACAGATGCCTATAGAGTCTAGACAGTAGACTTCTGGTCAAACTCCACTGTACTGTGCTGTACTGTGCTGTGCGGAATGCACCATATACCCATTTTCCAAGCCCAGTCTGCTTGTCCTTCTTCTGCATATGTCCTGCCCAGGATTTATCTGAGCGTGCCTTTCTGCAGCTCGCCGGCGATGGCTTGGAGGGTATACAGATGTCAGCAACAGCAATGTGTCCATCAGGAAGGTCTGTAGCATGCTTGAAGTCTCTACTGGCCCTGAAGGTGCTTTTCACCGAAAACGAATATCCGCTTGCCGTACTGCCGTTCATCTCGCTCTTGTAGTTCACATTCTGAGAGCATGGCGAACTGCACCAACGTGTCCTATCCTCAGAGGTGGGAACCGCCGGTATTGGTGGGGGACACGAAGGCTGTCGTGGCTAGACTTGCGAGTCGGACTCAGTGTTATGTCTTCTAGACACTCTATGTCACACAACACTTTAAGTCTTCATGCTGCTCTGCTTCTACTCACACAATAGCCGCAGCTCAGACTGCTTTGCAGCACTATACATGTACGATATTGCTGCTCAATGAAATCCAGTCGCGGCGTCACTCGAGTTTGCGCCTTGCATCATTTCGCAGCCGAGGGTTCACAGGTCTAGGGCTGCGTAACGCCCGGCGCGTACTCGAGTGATAACTGTTACGACTGGATTTCATTGAGCAGCATTGTATACACAAGAAGAAGCTAGAGCAGTGAAAGGCATGCATGCACAAATATAGGCCAAATGTTGCAACATCATGACATCATTAGGATTAGGATGACAAGATTGACATCACATTCATGGACTTGATTGTAACACTCAATCAGGCTGTCACGATGCTGTTGTTGTTGTTGTTGAGTCCTAGGGCTGAAACGAATGCTCAATGAAGCGAACGAATATTCTCTTTCCGAATACGTATGAAACGAAGAATATTCCGAATATTCTAAACCGTACAGTATCCATGGATACCTAGTTGTATTGTACTACAGGTAGAATCCTGATAATTCGAATACCAAAATGCCAGGGAAAAACTTCCAATTATCCGGACATTCTAATTATCCAAACATGTACCGTATTTTTCCGGTTGTAAGTCGACCTTTTACGGCTTAAAATAGAAGGAGAAAGGGTGGGGGTCGACTTACAACCGGGATTCGACTTATAACCGGGAACTATCAGTATCTTACAAAAAATGACCTGCACTGCATGCACGAGTGCACCATGTTTACACATTTTTGCCAGTTTATTGGCCTTTTTCAAGGATTGGGACGTTATATCCTCCAATGAGGAATGTTTACATGATTTGTTGATGTGTTATTAGCAGCAGGTGGTTAGTAGTGCTTCTTTGTGTCGTCTCGGAAGGTTGAGAACGAACTGCCTCTTCTATCCTCGCCACGCCACACCTCAAAACGAACTAGTCAGTGGTTTTTCTCTAGAGCTAGAGAGAGAGTTTTTCATAGTTTACTTCAAGCGGCGACGGAAGAACTCATAATGGAGAACTAACACTGACAACGAATGACTGACGACTGTCAACAAACGTCTGACTCTGACAACGAACGACTGACAACTGACGACGAACGTCGGACAACTGACCACGAACGTCGGACAACTCACTCTGACAACGAACGTCTGACAACTCACGACGACCGTCGGACAACTGACGACTGACATGGCAAAAGGAAAACATGATAATCATAAATTGGTGCCCTCGTCAGCACAAAAAGGTGCACGTGTCAACAACAAAGCAGCGCAGCAGCATGTACGGGTCAGCAACAAAGCAGCGCGCGCAGCAGCATGTACGGGTCAGCAGCACAGAGACACAAATACAGCAGCAGCTACGACGAAGAGATAACACGTGCAGGCGCAGGTACAACACTATCCCCTACCAAAAAAAGACATCCACTCCTGTGGATGGAAGCAAAAGTGAAGTGTATAAAAAAACGGAAGGAGACAGACCGGAGAAGAAGACAGAAAGACAGGGGAAATGAAATATGAAGCAACATAAACAGGCGACAATAAAACACAAAAGAGGTGGGCCACAACTGTTGAACGCATGACGAGTAGGCCAGGAGGGTTAACACCAGTCGGGAGCCCCGCAAAACTGTGCACCAATCAACGGAACCTGCAAGCAACAGATTTTGCAGAGGACCCCGGCTGGCGAGCTGTTCGACCTGTGTTTGTCCCTTTGGATCTTTTATTCTTAGAACAGCACCAACCTAGTACGCCACCCATCCACCAGTCATGACAAAACAAAAGTACAAATGCATGAGAAAACAGGTTATGCCGACGGACCCAGCGACGCTTCCAGGAGCGGCGAGACCGACAGTACGCACCGACCGAGAAGACTGGGGCAGCAGGACGCACACTGGCCGGCTGTCCGAAAACCGATGGCGCTACAGAAACTCCGAGAATCACAGGACACACACAGAAAGAGAGAAGGACTGACGCAAACATCTCAGCCATCACCAAAAATCAGAAAAGCACACGAAGGAAGGGAAGAACAGCCAGGAAGAACACGTCGATTGAAACAGGAGCAATTAATCAGTGAGGACACCATTGAGGACACACAAACAAATCGGTTACCAATACGCAAAAGATAATGAAGAAAAACCACAGTGCGCTACCCTGAAAAAACCCACAGGGATCGAACCTGAAAAAACCGCAGGGATTGAACCTGAAAAAACCGCTGGGATTGAACCTGAAAAAACCGCAGGGATTGAACCTGAAAAACCGCAGGGATTGAACCTGAAAAAACACGGAACTTATAGTACATCCGCTCGCAAAACCAAAAAACTGAAGAAAAGAAACTGTCCGGCACCGACTGGGACGCACAAGGGCTAACCAGCAACACACGGAAACCATAACACCCGCAAGGCAAACCGATACAAAAAAAGCGCAGGATCCCTGCAGACCACCAAGCAGACCGTGGCTCACCATGATCAGACGCCCACCCAGGCGAACTAGAGAAACCCACATGCCGAAACACAATTATTACAAAACCATACGCTCACAAAAAAAATTCAACCTGGATCAAGAACGAGAATCCTACATGAAGTTCACACCTCCCACCAAACCGGAAACCAACAGCTTTCCTACTTTGTTGACAGTGCATGTGCATGACCGAGCCTGACAACGCTCTACACCATGTACACAGAACATGGAGAAACTACTACTAAAACGGTAAAAACACGAAACAAAACAATATGGATCGACTACATACGAGGCAGCACCTCGAGAACGTTCAGGTGGACATCTAAACAAATCACGCGACACAGTCACACGTATCGGAGCAGTCCGACGGCAACTCCGTGACAAGCACAAGTGCACAACACAAGACGAGATCAAAGCTACCCATGCTGAATGCACGACGAACATGCAAACACAAGTTCCAGATTCGAACGAGTAGCGCACGAACAGAAGTTTGAAATTTTCATACACAACAGTACAGTACAGGGTAGTCAGAGCACAACTAACACAACGGGGCGAACTTCCAACGAGCAGCAAGACTACACTACGAGTACACACTCGAACACAATAGAACAAGGTTCCACGGAATTCCTGCCGGGACCCGAGTCACCCGACGCAAAACAATTATTTGAAAATTCGAAATCGAATACAAGGTACGGCAACACATTACGAATAGCAGAGCAGACAATTACAAAGGCATGCTCACCTGAGTAGGAGCTCCGAGGATCTAGGAAAGGGTTGAACAGACGCAGCAAAGCGGAGCCATGGCGAGAACGCGAAGAGGAAAACGAAAAACACCGGCCGGAGAGCGACGAGCTTCAGGGTCGTGGGTTCGATTAGTTGGGCGCCAAATGTCGTCTCGGAAGGTTGAGAACGAACTGCCTCTTCTATCCTCGCCACGCCACACCTCAAAACGAACTAGTCAGTGGTTTTTCTCTAGAGCTAGAGAGAGAGTTTTTCATAGTTTACTTCAAGCGGCGACGGAAGAACTCATAATGGAGAACTAACACTGACAACGAATGACTGACGACTGTCAACAAACGTCTGACTCTGACAACGAACGACTGACAACTGACGACGAACGTCGGACAACTGACCACGAACGTCGGACAACTCACTCTGACAACGAACGTCTGACAACTCACGACGACCGTCGGACAACTGACGACTGACATGGCAAAAGGAAAACATGATAATCATAAATTGGTGCCCTCGTCAGCACAAAAAGGTGCACGTGTCAACAACAAAGCAGCGCAGCAGCATGTACGGGTCAGCAACAAAGCAGCGCGCGCAGCAGCATGTACGGGTCAGCAGCACAGAGACACAAATACAGCAGCAGCTACAACGAAGAGATAACACGTGCAGGCGCAGGTACAACATTTGGGTGAAAACTTTAAAACGCAGGATTGAGACCTCCAGATAGGGGGGTCGACTTATAACCGGGGTCGACTTACAACCGGTAAAATACGGTACCCACAACACAATTGGCCCAGAATCTGCGAAAACCAGGCTTAGGGTGAAATTTCACAAAATGACTTTTCCCATTTTCAGCTTCTACTGGGCATGGGAAGTCAGGAAACAAATTATTACAGGTGTGGGTCAACTCATAGTGGTATTAAAAGTATCTCAAACACACCAGGGTATTGTGTTAAAAAGTCCAAAAAAACACAAAATTGTTATCACAGGAAAGAAATGAAGAGAGATCCACCAGAGTGAAGGAAGATACATGGATGATTTTTGTTTAGGTGACATGACAAGGTAGGCATGTGGGGGCAGGCTTGTTGTGGCCCCTTGGTGCTGCAGGCTGTAGTGGCCATGCACAGTTCTGCATGAATTTTGTTTGCTCCTCACTCAGCACATTCTGGGGCTGCATACATGTACTGGCATGCTCTGGCGCTACACACCACAAGGAAACCCGACTCCAGTTGAGATGGCACCTTTTGAAGGGTGAATCTAGTACAACTATTCAAAAACAAGCAAGAACACGGCCTTTCAAACTGTTCCACTGTTCGTAGTATGCGCATAGTGATAGTGTGCTGGCGTGCTGCAGTGCCTGCTTGGTGCTGACCGGCAAGTGAAATCTCGGCACGCCGTACAATCCCTTGAGCTAGCTGTCCAGCGAGGAAAGTCTCGAGTGGAGGCCTCTCGATCTGCTCGCTCGTTCGCCTGGCATTCAGTAGCACTTCATCGCCAAGGACTTCAATTCAAAACAGTTTTCACACTGCGCTTCTAGCCTTTTTCCTCGTGAACTTGCTGCAAACGTATGAGCTCTGCTGCGCGTGTCCCCTTTGTGTGAGGCCCAGAAACAGCTAGTATCTCCATACTTCGATTGGCTGGGTCGATGTCGTCCAGGTTCTCCTCGCTATCGCCATCACGACTCTAACTGGAGACAATTTCTTCACCATTTTCCGCAAGCAGCAGCTAGCGCAGAAATTTCGCCATCCCTGAGTGAAGGAGATGGAATCTGTTCGATCAGCTCAAAAACTCTTCGTTGTGACTAGAGGAGTAGCAGGGAATATTCTACCGGAAGCCCTTTGACTTCCCTGACCGCTGAAACCCTTCCTGCCATGACTGCTACTTCTTCAAACAAGCGAGATTCTCTTTGGTTCCACTTCACTGCACTCGAGCGTCCACGCGACACAACCTTTTTACAAAACATCATTTTTCTCAAAAATATGATTTTCACCCTAAGCCTGGTTTTCGCAGAAGTTCGGCCGACATTATGTATGTCAAAATGCTCGCATTGACACGCAAAATTGCACTACGCACCTTAGACACAGATTTAGGGCACTGAACTGCCTGCGCATGCAAACCAAACTGATTTGCAGAAAATAAAGTAAATTTCTGATTATGGAGTTGATTGTTCCAACTAGGAACACACGCTTCTTGCCGAACTTGACACTTGACTTGACAATCAACTTCATGACTATTACCGCCGAAGTCGCAACTTCTAAGTTCTAATTATGGTTTGCTATTATATAAACTTTGAATTATCAGCACTAATCCCACACATTTTCTATGTAAGTGGATTCCGTGGGACTTCTAGTTAACCGGACGTGCCCAGTTCGAGGTTCTAATTATCAGAAATTGTTATGAATTTTCAGGATTTCACATGCACTCTTTGGCTGCACCAAAACAACTTGTTGGAGCTCGCGCTTCCTGCCGAACTGACTGACACTTGACTGGCTCGCGCCATGTGAACACACCCACAACACTGAAACTGTGTGAGTGAATAGAAGTCGTTGCGCTGTAGTTACGTGTTGAATACACCGGCACATCGATCGATTGATTCAGTCTTGTTGAGAATTATTTTAGTATTTCAAGATCAACTCTTTGGCGCAACTCACACCATCATTCAGCCTGTGTACGTTTCATCACAATTTTCCCGCCAATATGCTGTATAAATTGACATCATTGTGCTTCGTCAGCTTTCACAGGCGTCTACTTTTCTCACAATGTCGTCAAAGCCACGCGGATAGCTTTTGCCAAGTCATGGCCTTGAGAATGAGTCCGTGTCCATGTTGTTTTCGTCATATGGTGGGAGTAAATTGCATCGCAGCTCGAAAGAAACTATTTGGTCACGAAACGAATTGGGACCCTTGCCGTGCTTCAACATTCACCGCACTTTCGACATGTCCTCTCTGAGTCCGTATCGATATGAGGAAGAACTTGTTTGTTGTAAACCAGACGTACATGTACAAACGTGAGTGAGTTGTCATTTTTCATGCTTTCGCGCGGAATATGTCTTTGAGTTCACAGCGTGTTTTTTCAGGTAGCTCATACGGTGAGACGGCAAACACCCTAGGCGATCGCCCGGATTGCTAATCTTTTTTAAACTGACTGTAAGCAAGAAAGCAATCAACACCAGAGATGTATTTTTGCACCAAAAGCAGAGAGAGAGAGAGACAGAGACAGACAGAGAGACAGAGACTGAGCGATGACTTTTCTTCTGCTCTACTTATTGCATTGTATAGTGGTGTGTCTGTAAGGCATTGTACAAGCACCCCATTCAATGATGACTCAACACACGTGGATTTTGTTTGCATCTATTGCTTCCCTTTGTTTATGCAGCCCAGTGAACCCAGGCGATGCAGTTGAACGTTGCAATGGACTGGAAATAACAAAGGAGGTAAGAGTTGAAACTCTAAGCTAGAGTACTTCAGTGTGGTGCTGTTGGAATATGTGGAGACCAGAGACTAATAGAGAGGTTCCGCATAACGCAATTACGTAAGTAAATAACATAGTTGATCTTCGGAAAGTCTTACGTACACTGCATGCGCATCTGTGTTCCGCCATACGGAGTTATCGAATCACGTAGCTGCCCTTGGCAACTCAGTACGCGGCAGTGTACAACCGGGTCGACGTGGGGAGTGAGTCATAAATTTGTACCCCAATCCACTTACGGAGCACCTCCGTTACCAGAGCTCTATGTACGTACTCTACGTAGACAGTTTTCCGTAAGTGGAGTGCAAAACTTGCAAATTCACGGGTTTTCCTGCCCACCAACGTAAAGTTGCTCAACTCTACGTAGTGCGGAACCTCTCTAATTAGGGGTGTGTTTGGTTGGTACGATCTAGAACAGGATCGAACAGCTGGTGCACATGGAGCAGCCTCATGCCAACCAAACGGTACTCCAGAAACAGAACACATTTGCGTGGAAAAATGTGTGAAATTTGGTGCATTCTTCAAAATATGTATGAGTCACCATGGTCACTTTGTACGGTACAACGAGTCCAACCCAAAAGCGTATGCACGTGATCATTTGGGACCAAAATCGATGTTCCCGCCAGGTTTCACTGTGAAAAAGTGAAACTGCTCGGTCTGCTCCGGCCTCGAGGCCGGAGCAAGCAGAACATGTTCTGGCCGACCCAGAACAGGTGCAGTCCCAACCAAACGCGCTGTTCTGGTGAATCCTGTTCTAGTTCGTACCAACCAAACGCGCCCTAGGTCAGCAGGAACAACAACATTGATTTTAGTTGCTGGTTTCACCCTGTATGATATTAATAACACGCGCACACCATGCACACACACACACACACACACACACACACACACACACACACACACACACACACACACACACACACACACACACACGTGCGCCCGTGCCCACCTGCCCGCGGACGCACGCACACACACACACACACACCTAGCCCCTTCTTTCTACATCGTGTTATTTCAACAGGACAACGAGAAGACCATTTCTCCTTGCACCGACAGCATTTCTGTATTCTTTGTGTAGACTGCCATGTCCGCCACGTGCTCCTTCCCATTCCTCACTGCTTACCCGCAAATCACATTCTCTGCCTTTTATGTGTAGCATATGATTGCGTGTACTGTTGCTAATACCTTCCCAACTATATTGCTGGTGCATGGTTATTAGGCAGTACATTCACCTGACAGCAGCAATTCTCTCCAGTTGTTATTAGGCAGTACATTGACCTGACAGCAGCAATTCTCTCCAGTTGTTATTAGGCAGTACATTCACCTGACAGCAGCAATTCTCTCCAGTTGTTATTAGGCAGTACATTCACCTGACAGCAGCAATTCTCTCCAGTTGTTATTAGGCAGTACATTGACCTGACAGTTGTTATTAGGCAGTACATTGACCTGACAGTTGTTATTAGGCAGTACATTGACCTGACAGTTGTTATTAGGCAGTACGTTGACCTGACAGTTGTTATTAGGCAGTACATTGACCTGACAGTTGTTATCCCGACTAATTAGATTACAGTAAGTAATGCCGATGACTCCCTTCCAGTTGCCTTCATCGGTGTCAACAGTTTCAGCAGTGATATAATGTCTGACACTTCTGTCGTCCATAACCCAGGCAACGTTCAGAGTTACTATAAGCGCTCAGGAATGTGCACGGTTGTCACAGACTCGCAAGTAAGTACCTGTAATGACACACTTTCTATATTCACATAATTATTTGAATAATTCCCTCCAATGCATGGTGCACTTTCAGCAGAGGTGCGACTCATGCCTTCTTAGCATGGGGACTTCCCTATGATACGGCCCACACGCAATGGACACCAAAATGATCGTTTTGACTTCATGAATCCATTGCAGTTTGAATAATGATGGGCATTTCTAATTTTGGAGCTTGTGCATCCTTGGTCCTACTGCTACAAATGAAATACGCATGGAAAGTTGTATAAGTTTGCACGAAGTTACAGCGCATATTGTATAGTGGTGTGTATTACGCTAGGCACACTTGTATTCACTGTTCATATATGTTGTGTGTGGTTATGCCGGAGTACTGCAAGATTGTTTTAACATGATATCTTCTCGTTAACCTATGAATTTTGGACAATCGTTAAATTTGCGACTCGTTATAATAACATGTCTTACAGTATTTAAATAACCGACAAGGAGACAACAGTCGTAAAATAGCAATGAACGAGAGAGCTTGAAAGCTCAGGGCCCTACGCTATGCTTTTTTGCCTAGCTAGCTCATCATGCATTAGAACTGATGGAATTTTTTTCCATTGATTGGCTACATCAAACTTTCTCTTTGCATTCGAGGGTCAAACGACGCCGTCTACCACCTTGATGACCTAGGTAAAAAAAGCATGGGGATGTTCTAAATTTCTCCTATTTTTCTCAAGACCTAACCTGGGATTCGAACCCGCACTATTGCCCTGCATGCATCCCCGATACACTTCGCATACATACCCATTCTTCCAAGTTGCTTCAAGTTATGATCTTGCATTTGAAAGCCCTATTTGAATATTGTGGCCATGGCCATGCCAGCTGTCTTTGATGGTACGGTACGGGACAGGTACGGGATAGCGCCAGGCATGCCGACGGCACAAACAAACAGACACACACCTTGATGGTACGGTACGGGACAGGTACGGGATAGCGCCAGGCATGCCGATGGCACAAACAAACAAACAAATAAATTAACACCAAATTAAAGCTGTGTGGACCCTGGCTAGCGCCAGACATTACTGAAGTAACGTCTTTTGCATAGCTACGGGAATAAAACTAATTGTGCACTCATAACCATGTATAAAACAATTAAAATGAAACAATTCCAGAACATTTTGTCGTGACTATCATCAGTGGAACATGTTCGTTCGTTCCTTCGTTAAGCCAAAGAATACTGTAAGAATAGCAATGAATAATTATAACTAATTGTGCACTCATGGCCATGTATAAAACAATAAAATGAAGCACGTGCATGCGCTTTTCGGGTTGCATTTGGCATACACTCGGTGTGCCATATGAAATGACTCGTACACATTTTGATGAATGCAATAAAGTTTGGGTATATTTCCAGCATCCAAATAGCACTCCAGAAAGGCAGGAACAGAGCACTTTTTCTGGAAGTGTACCCAAACTTTATTCCCGTAGCTATGCAGAAGACGTTACTTCAGTAACGTCTGGCGCTAGCCAGGGTCCACACAGCTTTAATTTGGTGTTTGTGTGTTTGTGTGTTTGTGTCACGCCTGGCGCTATCCGTATCTGACGGCAAAAAAGCATAGGATGTTATAAATTTTTCAATTCTCCTATTTTTTTTTCAGGCATATCCTGGGATTCGAACCCGCACTATCGCCCTACATGCATTCCCCCATACACTTCGCATTCATACACAACTCTTCCATGTTGCTTCACGTTATTATCTTGCATTTGAAAGCCCTATTTGAATATTGCGTGCAGCTGTATGTGACAGCTGTGTTTGATGGTACGGTACGGTACGGGAGACGGTGTCGTATTACCCTCGATCGTACCTGTCCCGTACCTATCCCCTACCGTACGGTGCCATCAAAGATGGCTGGCCACAATGCATATTCAAATAGGGCTTTCAAATGCAAGATCACAATGTGCCACAACTTGGAAGAATTAGTATGTATGCGAAGTGTATCGGGGGATGCATGCAGGGCGCGCGATAGTGCGGGTTCGAATCCCAGGTTATGTCTTAAAAAAGGATTTTTTTAAAGAATTTATAACATCCCTATGCTTTTTTTTGTCTAGGTCATCAAGGCAAAAAAGCATAGCGTAGGGCCCTGAGCTTCCAAGCTCTCTCGTTGCATTCATCAAAATGTGTCATCTTAAAAGGGAAGTTAAGCCTAAAATCAAAGTTTCACCAGTTGTAGTCTTCGGGGTGTGTTCAATTGGGAATATGGGCCGAACTCGGCATCGCAGCTTTCTCGGACCAAAACCAGTTGACTCAGCATTCGAAAGACTAGTGTTCCTGCCTTTCTGGAGTGCTATTTGTGTGGCATGCGGCTACTCCATTGCACCAGCTGTGGGTTATCGTGTTCTAGATCGTACTAACCAACGCTCCCCTAGCCATTCATACTGTAATTTTGAAATTGTGATGCTCCAGCCTGCAGTTGTTTGTGAGTCCGGCGTATGGGCGTATCAGTATCGACATAAATGCATTGTGCTCTTGCAATTGCACTTCAGCATCCATGAAGGTAAGATACCTTAGGTGCGAAATTGGAAAGGGGAGGGTGGGACAAGGGTTTCTGTGGCCACCTACATTCCTGTTCTGCTAGCGTAGTGCATGAGTGAAAGGCAGTTACCTTGGCCACCGCATGGCCTGGTAGCAATACAAAGACCACCGCACAACCCAAGTACAAACATGACCACCGCACAGCGCAGTACAAGCATGCCCATCACACAAACTAGTAAAAGTGTGACCTCCTTGCGGCCTAATGCAAAATGGCCGCAGCACAGCAGCATTGTAAAACATAGCCGCTTACAGCATCTAGTACAAACATGGCCACGTGCGGTCTAGTGCAAAGGCGGCCACCACACGGCCAAGGACATTCACTGCTGCTACATAGCCTAGTACAAGCACGGCCACCTTACGACCTGGTACAAGCATGTGCGTACATGCACACATACGCAATTTGATGTTACCTACCTTGCTGAACATACGCATAGTTAAAGAAATGTTACTTTGGGAAGACACAAAGGTAGGAGGGAGGGAGGAATCAAAGTTTCCCCGCTTGAAGCAACTAACTTGCAAAGAAGGTGCACGGAGATGTGGAACGCCACTTCTGGTTGGTGCTCAGCAGCCCTTTCCATGCTACACTACGCTTACATACCAAATCCTCCATGGGTAAAAAAACTAAAAAAATCTATATCATGAGATGATCTACACTATACACTGTGCGAACTGTGTCACAGGTTACTAAGTTTAGAGTGGTACAGGATGACAATCACCTATGCCCTATGCCCTATGCCATATGCCGCCGTTCCTGGAGAGAAACAGCGTTAATGTGGGGCTGATATCAAATTTCTTGTAGCAGTTCATCTGCCATCAAACAACACGTGGAAGCGTTGCTATATGTAGGCTTTGGCTGACTAGGCTTTGCTGTAACTACTGGATTAGGATTTCATGTGCGAAACCTTGTCTTTCATACAGACTACAGCCTGTCTTTTGTGTTTTTGGAGTAGGATTTGCTGTGCGAAACCTTGTCTTTCATACAGACTACAGCCTGTCTTTTGTGTTATTTTCTCATTTCCTTTTACTCTTAACTTACGACTTGTTTCTGTGTTACTCTCTATGATTAGAATTCGTCCGAGTGCTCTGGTCGAGGTGACCTGACCTGTGGAAAATGCGAATGTCCCGACGAATTGTAAGATACAGCATGGCACTTGATGTCCCTCGGAATTACCCCCGTTTCCGGGAGCGCTTGATCACCTGAAATAGACACAATCCCGACTTGGATGGAGCGCCACGGACTTTAAGATTAAAATTAATAGGGTTTACACTTTACAAGTTATCCATTGCTGTGCAATAGTGCCAATACTAACATAACTAAAATATTGGAGACTCAGAATGTTGCACAGTTAGCATATTCTACTGACAAGCGGTACTGGCGTTCAACTACTTCCTCCGCGTCATTAACCTCTTTAGCACGACGCTACCTGAGCGCGCCCCACGTCAACACCTGTAAAAGTCGCATTTTCCCATGAAAGTACTAGCTGCTCAAGGATCGATAACTTCACCTTCCCTTGGACGAATTCCACGATCTTGAGCTTCCTGGAAAGGTCTTGAGACGAGGGACAAACTGATGTCAAACCCAGCTCGGAGCGAAACCAAAACCCCGTGCTACAGTCTGGCAAACTCCATCCACGCGCTCGACAGACTTGAGCACGGCCAAGACTAAGCGAGCTCAAATATTCAGCTGCCATTTCGGTCTCCTTGCTCGTATCGAGCTCAAATTTTTTGTGAGGACTCATGGGATCCACTACCATCATTTGAATCTTGTTTCCATGGCAGCAGGTAGCGCAAAAATGATCCATGATGGAAATACGCGTTCTGCAGACTGCGCAAAAAGATCGAGTTGAAATTTGCCGTGTCGAGTCGCATATCTCAACAACCGGTAGTCGCATCGCTTCGGCGATTGTCTCTATCGCTAGCTGAGAGTTTTCTCTTGCAGATACATGTTTCGATTGTGAGAATCGACCAAGTATTCAGTGAGTTACGATAGTTTGAACAAGTCACTATTGACTCAACACGGACTCCACGACTATGCGATGCAGGTTCACTGTACAGTGTACAGCGCGCGTCGTACTAGTACGACGGCCGTGGGGCATGCAACTCATGTGCGTCGTACTAGTACGACGCTCGCGCTAAGGGGTTAAAATTGTCGCTTCGCACATCGCAATATTTGTGACTTGGCTCGTCTTAGTCAGACTGTCGGAATCGCTGTTTTCTGTGTTCGAACACTGGTGTGACCCTTCCTGCGCAATGTCTACTTGTCATTGTCTCGAACTTTGTCGGAGCTCTCTTCCGCACCAAGCAAATTCATCGCGCTCCGCACTATTCCGCCCCAGAGCGCATTTCGTTTTCTGGAGTTCGTGCCGTCTCACATCGTTCACGTGGGCATTTGTCAAGACTGCAAGCTCGGGTATAAGAATCCTGGTATCTCTCCTGAATACGAACTGCTGAAGTTGACGATGGCAAGAACAAAGTGGTCTCAAATTCCTAAAATGCGCTACTTGTGGCGCATGTTGCTGCGAAGGTAGCAGGTCTGAAAACACCAACAAAATTAGCGAAGTGCTTGCCAAGGAAAGAAGGTGCGGAACTGCTTACCCTATCCCGCTGGAAGGTCGTTACAGTGTACTTGAAAAATGCTAGCTTGCCTTCATCGCCTGCCACCTGGAGGCATGGATCGCCTGAAAACGAAGTTTCTTGACCTGAATTTGAACACGCGTCTTCTCTTGTTCAGCATCTTGTTGAGTGCTGAAGGATCTGCCTCAAACTCTGATGAAGATGTCGACCTTAGCTGCAAGTGCAGCGAAGCGGGGGGCCACAAACTAAAGCTTGGTCCGTCGACAATGCTCTAGCTGATTTCTTTGCCATTCCAGTGGACAAAATAATTTTCGAAAAATCGCTCTGGGAAGCGACAATTTTAATGACGCGGAGGAAGTACCTGATGTCTAGCTCCTTCACATCTCCAATGTGCAAGCGAACAGCCCTCCAACCTGAAAGTTCTTAATTATGGAATAGGATCAGAGCGGGGAACGTGAGCTGCATCAGATCCGCTCCAGCAACTTGGACCCTCACGAAAACGCATCCCAGCGACGTAGCAAGTACACATTCGAGCAGGTTCTACTGATGCAGTGTGATGAATTTCGAACTATCCTCTGCGAAATTTCAATTCGGTGATCTCTGAAATACACCCTTGTGCGTACAGCTCTGGATCTCTGCAAGAGATAACAAACCACTTACTGTGAGACCACAATATTTGAACGCCAATTAAACATAACGATTCATCACGGCGAAGATATTCACTAGTTGAAGGAATGAAATGGGAAAAGTCTGAAGAAAAAATTGACTGTCGCCACCAGGACTCAAACCAGGGACCTTCGCTTGAGGCCAGCGATGCTCTAACCACTGCGGTATGGTGTAGCTGCCATCCCAGCAGAGAGCGTTCAACATTTTTAACATAACAATATCCAGATTTTTGATGGTTAGCGGCATGAAATGTCAACGATTTCTGGCAGTCAAAACCGGCGAACGACTGCACTAACTGAATAGTTGTATGCGTCCTTTTTGCAGATAACGACACTCAAAATTTAAAACAAATTTGGATAAACAAGCGGCGAGGAGTCAATAATTTGACAACCGATTCAGCTTGTCTTATTGACTGCGGTTATCAAATTAGGATAAATTTATAGAAAAGAAAAAGGACCAAGGAACTACAAGTTACACTATTAGAGAGATTCTGCTACACGGAACTACGTACCAAACTCCGTGTCAACTGCAGTGAAGTTTGGCACGGATTTTGCGTACGTTGCGCCGGTTCTGCTGTGCGTAGCATGCTCGAACACCCGCCACATGTACTCTGCGCGCTCAGTTTCACGCGGAGACCAGTCCGTGTGAAGCGAAAACGGTATGAAAAATCCGTGTGAAACTTGATCCCGTACCGCGACGAGGTTTCCATACGTACTCTGGTACGTTTTCCTGTGTGGCAGAAACTCTCTACTGTAAAAGCCATTATTCTAACGAGGCGCATATATAACGATTTCCCAAAATTGACTAGTTTACGTGTACCAAAGGTAACGATTCTCACTCATTCTCAACGCTCAATAGGAAAGTATATGTATCGATTTCTGTATAACGATTTCTATTTTAACGACAGGTTTTCCTCGTTAACTCGTTAGAGTTAGCACTTCGTTATATATATATGGCTTTTGCAGTATTATGTCCACTAGCACCACCAGTTACTAAACAATCAGCTCATGCGATAACATTGCACGACGCTGACCGACAGTATTGACGTTCTACAAGTAACTGGCTATCAGCTCTAGCACATCTTAGATGCACACTCCAACAGCCTTCCAACTTGGAAGGTTCTAAGTTTTATGATAACATGGAGGGGAAAGCGAGCACAACCAAGACAAGCACAAAACCAAAGTCTCAGCTGTGAAGGACGCTGGCAGATGTACATGCATGTCGATGACAATACTGGCAAGACCATTGGACAATACGGTCAAACCACGATTCAAGGACGCAAAGCAACATTCCACATAACTTGTGTGGCTCAAAGATGCGAAGATCAATCGACATGCATGTACGTCCGCCAACGTCCTTCACAGCTGAGACTTTCAGTTTGTGCTTGTCTTGGTTGCGCTCACCTTCCCCTCCTATGTTATCATAGAACTTAGAACCTTCCAAGTTGGAAGGCTATTGGAGTGCACATCTAAGATGTGCTAGAGCTGATAGCCAGTTACTTGTAGAACGTCAATACCGTCGGTCAGTGTCGTGCAATGTTATCGCATGGGCTGATTGTTTAGTAACTGGTGGTGTTATGTGGACATCATAGCGCAACTTGTAGTCCCTTGGTCCTTTTTCTTTTCTATACATTTTTGTAGTCCCTTGGTCCTTTTTCTTTTCTATACATTTTTCCTTGGGTCTTCAAATTAGGATAATCGCCAGATTTAAAAATGTTCACTAAAACACACACGTATGATTAATTACCTGGTGTCTACTTTGTCCATCTCTTACAGTCCAGGAGCGAATTGCAGCTGCAATGCTGATCAAGTCGACCTTTCGGGAAGAATGGACATTGACTGCAGGTACACGCTTAGGATAGATATTTCAGATGTAGAATGGCTTAGGTTGGATGAATGCACTCACACGTGCACATGCTTACCATATTTTCCGCAACACTGACTGAGGCGCTTAGTAGTCTGCTTGCCCGAATACTTCACCCAATTTGAAAAAATCGACACGAAATCCCTGAAATGATGTGGCGCTTATTTCAGACAGTCGGTAATAAAAGACCGGCGCCAATTTCAGAAACTACTGTACGTACCCGCATACACAAATGCACACGTGCATGTACACACACACACACACACACACACACACACACACACACACACACAAGAAAACAAACAAAAACACACACCTTCCTTCCTTCCTTCCTTCTTCCACTGCCATGACTGGCTATGTGGTCCCATATGAGGCAGACCAGGAGGCACACGCACACGCACACACACACACACGCGCACACACACACACACACACACACACACACACACACACACACACATACACACCTTGGACCTTGGACGCGCTGCCATATTCTGGCTATGCGGACCCCATGGGGGGTTGAGCAGGTTCGGAACAGTAGGGGCGATGACGGGATAGGTCCTGTGGTCTACTGAAACGCCGACCGCAATTGCAAACGATGCAGAAGGAGCTACGGTCTGTGTTAGTTGCTCTGGCCGAGCCACGGCTGCACTTGTGACGTTTCATGCCTTGGCGCGATAGCACACAGCGGTTGCAGCGGGCGCAGTGGAAGCTACACACATACACACGCACACACAACTTTGGACATTGACATTTTGATGCCCATTGCTCTCTGAAATGATAGCTTCAGAAGTTGCAGTAATAGTATCTCCTGAGGCGAGTCTAATCATTGGGCCGAATGAAGTCTCTGCTACAGCCGCATGTGAACAGTGCACGCGTGCACACACGCACACACACACACGCCACACACGCGTGCGCACACACACACACATTTGAGAGATAGAGGAACATTTTGCTCTTTATTGTTGCTGTATTCTCACATTAGGCCAAGTAACGCACAACCAGGTGAGCCAACCTGCAACGGCCAGGGTATTTGCGGTGTGACTGATAGCTGCCAAGTTGGCTGCATCTCCTGTGTACCAGGCTACCATGGCCGGTACTGCCAATGTAGCGACTCACTCTGCAATCTTTCCGGAAATGGACTACCTTGTGGAGGTCAGTTTTCAGCTAGAGAGTTGTGTGTGTGTGTGTGTGTGTGCGTGTGTGTGTGTGTGCGCGTGTGTGTGTGTGTGTGTGTGTGTGTGTGTGTGCGTGTGTGCGTGTGTGTGTGTGCGTGTGTGCGTGTGTGTGTGTATTTGTACGTGTCTGTGTGTATATTTGTGCGTGTCTGTGTATGTGTGGGTGGGTGGGGGGGGGGGGGGGTGCATGCCAAATGTTGCAAACTCTTTCATGTTTGTACCCTACCCGCTTCGTGTGCCGATGTGCTGGTGCATGAGCATGCTTGAGCTCCTGGGCCAACTAAGAGAACTAAGAGAATCAGAGTGGGCGAGATTGTCAGCTGATTGTGTATGCAGTATACAGTATACTGTAGTGTATACACCTGTTGTTCAGCTGATTGTGTATACAAAATGCTGTATACACCTGTTGTTCAGCTGATTGTGTATACAAAATACTGTATACACCTGTTGTGGTTCATCTAGATCTAGGTTGACGCCGGTGTTTGCTGAAGTGTTCAATACTGGCGTTGGTGCTCTCAAGTGTTGAATGTTGTTGTCAGTGTCACCGCTGCCTGTCGTTAGAGAGATTAGAAGATGCGCTCCACCTGAACGTTAACGCTTGTGTCTACGCACTCAGGTGCAGGAATCACACAGCTTGCATATTCGGTGATAAGACACAAAGTAACTTGGACGCGAGTGTGTATGCAAGCTAACAAACCTACTCAAAGCCACAGATGGAACCATCAACACGTGCACAATCGCGGAAACATTCTCGGATGATAATGAAAAAATGCAAGAGAAACGCGAAACAAGCTACACTGACATGGCCCTACGCGAGTGGGGCCTGTCACATGTGTGTGAGGTCAGATGCTGCAACTTGTGTGACTGGACCTTGCCGGGATTTCACCTACTGCACACGTCCGCCCGACCTGTGTGGCGTGCATGTTCATCGCTCTGTTGTCATTGTGTATCACTGCAGGTAACGCACAGGGCCGGTGCATGTGCGATTCTGAGACCTGTGGTGATTGCAAGTGCCTCTGTTTCCCGCCATACGACATGGATGCTGTCTGTAACCTTTGCCCAACGTCCATGGAGACATGTCGTGCCAACCAGGTGAGTTTGGTTTTCGTCCAATACCCGTTGCTTTACTAGATTCTGGTGGCAGATACTGCTGACAATGTAGTGGTATTTGTGGTATTGTTTGAATTATTCATAGTCCAAAGTTGTATGTGACGTGCACAAAAGGGTTAAACAGCAGCAGCAGGGAAAAGCCGTGTGTGTGTGTGTGCACACAGAGGTAGCAGTAGCATACATACTGAGGAACAACACTGTAGCCCAAGAATTGGGGCAATGCCACAGTACATATAAACTACTTCCTCCTAGTCCTAGTGGGACTACTACAAGCGCAAAGAAATTAGCAGCTGGACAGTACTAGACAATGTGTCCAACACGGGTACAAAGTGATCAGATCTTACACGCCACCTACGCTTTTGGAGTTCAGGATAACCGGCAAAGGGGTGGTATGGAAGAGACTTAAAACCCTGTGTGTCTTTACGGTCCGTTTCAAAAAGATTTGCAATCCTGGCGATCGCCCGCGGAGTTTGACGTCTTACCGTATGAGCACTCGAGTGCTGCCTGGAAAAACTCACTGTGAACTCGAAGAAATATTCCGCGCGAAAGCAGGAAAAATGACAACTCACTCCCGTTGATACAGTCATGTACGTCTGGTTTACAACAAACTAGTTCTTCCTCGTATCGATAATGGAGTCAGAGAGGACATGTCGAAACGAAAGTGTTGTAAATGTTGACGAGCGGCATGTGTCCCAATTCGTTTTGTGACCAAAATAGTTTCTTTGAGCTGCGATGCAATTTACTCACCATGTGACGAAAACGACATCGACACGGACTCATTCCCAAGGCCATGACTTGGCAAAGCTATCCGTGTGACTTCGACGACATTTTGAGAAAAGCAGACGCTTGTGAACGCTGATAGAAGACGGCGTTGACTGCTAAATTCAAATAAATTGGCGATCTTGAAATACTAAAATAAATCTCAAAAAGCTACAGCGCGATGACTTCCATATTCACTCACACCATTGCAGTGTTGTGGATGTGTTCACATGGCGTGAGCCAGTCAAGTGTCAGTCAGTTCGGCAGGAAGCGCGAGCTCCAACAACAAGTTGTTTGGTGCAGCCATCTTCTTTGTCTTGTACCAGCTTGATCACCAAAACAATAAAAAAAGTTTGACTTGAGGATAGGTTGGGATTTGAACTAACAACTTCATGGTCAGCAGACAGCATTCATAACCACAAGGCCAAAAAGGAAAGGATAAATCGTGGGTTTTGATAAAAAATCGATACTGGCTTCCTGGGCAAATTGTAAATCATGGGAAAAGGCCGGAAACCTGGCCGAAATTCTAACTACTTAACGGCTGGTCCCATTGTTCCGAAACCTTCACAGAACAATTTGCCGTGTCCTAACAAGCCATTCTATGTACTTTGTTGTCCAAATTTCCCTTATCTTCATACTTTTTAAGACCCAAACCTGATTGTAATTCTTTTTGAAACAGACTATAGGAGACTCACCGGGGCTAGAAACATTGACTTCAGCTGGCACAGACCCGTTCACGAAGAGAGTCGAAACAGGCATCTTATCAGCTGAGCCCATTGGAGAGGATGGACGGGGACACGCTTGACCCTTATGGACATGGACACGACGGCACAGGTTGTCGTCGCAGGTCACTCCGTGCGACAATGGGCCATTGGCGCTGACATTAACAATCCTCTGTGTTGTGTTGTGCTTGCTGCAGAGAAGTGCCGTCTGCTCCAATAACGGTAATTGCGTGTGCGGCGCTTGCCAGTGTACTGGAGGATGGACAGGACAAACGTGTTCAGCATGTTCAGCTGGCGCTGTAAGTCCTATTATTTTACAACTCTCGGGATGTTGCTCCTACAGCTCATGCGGCTTCAGCAGTTCCTCTAGTTGTTACTGCCGCAGATGATGACGATGCTGCAGCCATTGCTGCTGCTGCTGCTTGTGCTGCTGCTGCCTCCACGTCTGCTGCTGCATTAAATTTCCATGTTCCAACATCTGAATTGTTATTTTCTTTTCCCGTATACACCATGCAGAGTTGCCTCTCTGAGGTGTGTTCGAATGCCCAGCCCTGTATCAATGCCCCAATGGAATGTCTAGGTAGATCAAACTGTACATTATGCCCTGGTGCAAGCACCGTGTCTGCAACTAACTCAGAAAATTGCAACAACCACTTCTGCCCGGCGAATATCACCACATTGGAAACATCTCCAGGAGCGACCCACACCTTCTATGGTACGCAATGCTGTAGTTGATTTACTTTTGCACAATGCAAATTGTGACAGCCTTTCATGAATTTTTGTTTGTGTGTTTCTGTGCCTCTTCTCATGCATGTGCATGCGTGTGTGTGTGTGTGTGTGTGTGTGTGTGTGTGTGTGTGTGTGTGTGTGTGTGTGTGTGTGTGTGTGTGTGTGTGTGTGTGTGTGTGTGTGTGTATGCGTGTGTGTGTGTGTGTGTTGGGGGCGGGGGATATACACGGGCAATGATTAACCTCAGGTAAACTTCGCCCAGGTTGGGCCCATAGCCGAAACACTTTCTGAAGAAGCCATGGATTTGTCGAAGTGTTAAAATATTTCAAAAATTGTCAGAGTTAAACGTCTTGCTGCTGTTGTGTGATTTGACTATCCAAAGTTGTATATTCATCTTTCCATCTATGTTGCCGCTGTGGTGTTGGTCGGTGTCTTCAGATCCGAAAAATTCACCAACGTTTCAGACTGAGGGCAGCCAGTGCACATCTACCGTTGGCAACTGTCGTATCACATTCTTCACTGCGTCTACGCAGAACCAGCTTGTCGGAATTGCGGTTGTCAGGACGAATGAAGAACAGGGTTAGTTCTACTGCTATTTCATTCTGTGACCCACCAGAAAGCAGGCTTGCAAAAGAAAGGTGTGTTCGAAGCGTACGTTGGAGCGATTCTCTGTCAACAAATGAGATGGAGTTCTGAGCTGTGAGCTATAGCTTTGCACTCTCAACAGCAGACTACTGCTTCACCTTGAGCAGAAATGAGTTAGAACGATGCGAAAGAGCTTTGTACGGAGGCCCCAGCAAAGCCAGGATATCCGGTAGCCCCTTGTCCCCCAATGTTTACCTGGTATGCACATCAATCAATATTGATTGGCTGAGAGGGTCGGAAATAGCAAATCTAGTACTTGGTTAGTGTGCATCCAAGCCACTGGTAATAGAAGGGTAATCACTATAATATGACTAGGGGTCAAACGGGTGTACCTTTAACTAACGAACGGGTAATTTTCTTAACGGGCGGGTTAACGGGTACCCTTTAGCAGCCATGTTTTAATTTTTGCGCAATTTTCATATAAACCATGATAGTAATTTATCTGTTCTCAGGTTGCAATTTGATATCACATTGTGATTCGCCAGTTGATTTGAGTCTGATAGTCGCAGAGGTGGATCTACTAGGTGCGAAAATGCAATAACAATGCAGGCATGTAGCTTGGAGTTGTAAATAATTTACTCCCGCCTGGAATGCACGATCCCAGCAGCGTGGTTTCGTACTGACTTGATCACCGAAATCGAAACGGGTACCCTTTTACTCACGGTACCTGAGATTAACGGGCGGGTACCCGGGTACCCGGAACACCCCTTTGACCCCTAAATCATATGCAGGAAAACAGCTTTTTTCTGTGGCCAATTTTACAGCTAGAGAATATATTGCCTTGTTTGTCAAAAGTTGAATTATAGTTCGTAAAGTGGAGTTTCATATTTACAGGTTTTATTTCTATTTTCGCATCCAACTACCTGAGAATGTGGCGAAAATACTTTCCTTTTGTTTTTTTTGTTTTTTTTATATTTTACTTGTTTGCAGACTGTGACACGCAGTTTAACACGTTAGGTGTTGTGCTGGGTATTGTGTTCGGCCTTCTTGGACTTGCCATCATTATCTTGATCGTCTGGAAGATTGTCACCTTTGTCCTGGTAAGGCTATGTAGTTGCTGACCGTCTTGCTGCATGCTTGGCTGCATGTTTGGCTGGGTGCTTGAAGGAGTGGTTGGAATGGCAAGTTGCAGGATAAATGGTTGCTCATACATTTATGCAAGATGGTGTACTAGTAGTTAGAATAGTTGGTTGGCTAGTGGATCGTCTCATTGCTTGCTCCTGCTGGTTTGATTGCAATGCTTCCTCGGGGCACTGTACTCCATACAGTACTGCTGCTGCTGCTGCTGCTGCTGCTGCTGTCATGCATGTGAGATGCAAACAACTGTGTGTGGTTGCACTTGTTTGTCACTGTATCCGTGTATGTATGTGTGCGTGTGTGCGTGCGTGTGTGTGTGTGTGCGTGCGTGCGCGTGCGTGCGCGTGCGTGCGTGCGTGTGCGTGCGTGTTCATTGGCTGGGGTAAGCAAAATATTTGCCTGAGACGGATGCTGCCCTGTGATTTGTGTCTTTACTCCAGGATCGGCGTGAGTACCGTCACTTCCTGGAGGCCCAAAAGAACGCCAAGTGGGAGAAGGTTAGTGATCGGTTTACTTTTCCCTGTCATGTTTGTGTGTTATTTTCACTGTGTGCGGACATGCAGGTCTACTGCACCATGTTGCATGATGCATGCTTTGGTTTCCTGGTATGTTGCATGCACACTGTGACATCCTGGCCATGATCATGCACACGTTGTGACATGTCTTGGATGGCACGCTTAAACATGCTACATGATTGTATTCACGCCTTCATGAGTCGGTGCTTCGTTCGAAAGAGTCCCTCTTCCCGCGATTGGTGTACAGCTTGGTGACCTTGGAAGAACCGAGTGGTCAGTGAATTAGCTTGCATGATGAAAATGACCCAAACCAACACTGTACTACAGTGTGTAGGCTGGTGGTCGTTTGTAGCATGCACGCTGCTACAGCATTGCTATTCTTCCCCACCATGCCCAGGTCAAGAGCCCGCTCTACAAGGACCCCATTCAGAAATTTTCTAATCCTGAATTCAAGGGATCGGCCCAGCACTAGGCGCAGCGAGGCATCTGCCCACACGTGGGCCGCCATTGCGGGCCCCCGCTTCTTACCTGTGCCTGGTGTCATCTGCCCCTGTGGGATGGGGTCTTCTCTTTGCCCTTTGGGCTCACCATGTGCAGCATTTAAGCGCTGCGGCTTCCGCTGCTACTGCGACTGTGGCCGCTGCTGTGCTGGGGGGCCTCCTCTGCACTTGCGCCGATGACGGCATGCGAAGCCGCATGTCAATCGTTTGCCACGCGTGCCATGCATGCAATACCCTGCCTTTTTGCGCTTCCAGTTCTGCATAAATGTATGTGCGTCGCCAGTGGAAGGACGTCCACGAGCTCGTGTGGGCGGCCGGTTGTGCCTTTCCATGTGCTGCAGCTTTACGTTAGATTAGCCATGCACTGGGCACCTTATGCACCTTATGCATGTAGGAAGGAAGCCAAGCAGAGAATTCTATACATGTATGTGTAACCTTGAACAATCCGGAAGATTTAGTATCCGGAAGACATAATAATAATAATAATAATAACATTAACTACAGCCCCAGCACCAGCCAAGGGACCTCGTGTTACCTTTCCGCACGCGCCGTATTGCATAGGAATATATTCATGCATTATCCTGCCATGGTACTGATACCATAGGTCAGGCCGATGTCTTTCCAGTTCTTTAGACTGCCGATGCTTGTACAGCAGCATTTAGTGGCACGGACAATACACTCTGCATACCTTCGTATATGAACACCCGCTTGTATTTCAGCTCCTCTGTCTGGATTGCCATGGGGGAGGCTGGGGTTATGGTGTGAAGTGAGGCTTATTCCTTGCAATTGGAACCCTGGCATGTCCTCCCATAGCATGTTCGAATTCAGGATTGAAAAACTAGGGCTGAAATGATAACACCGATTACTCGGTAGTCAATCAATAATAATTAACTTCTTGTTACAGTATAGATTACTTGTTAGGGATTTTCGAGTCCACAAAGTACTGAAAACCCCGTTTTGGTGAAGTTTGAACCAGTTTTCATTCAGAGTATAAAGTTTCCAGGGTATGGTTTGTGTTCGGAGGTTCAATTGCATTCAAATCCGCCATGTTTCGGAGCTACCCTTTCACTAATGGAGCATTTTTGGTATTATGAAGACATAGCTTGGGGAAAGGGAGTAATTTTTTGGCTTAAATCTGACGCTGTTTGCTAATGATTATAATCGAGTACTAGTAATCGATTGATAACTCAGGAGTGATCGATTGGTGAAAATCCACAATCGTTTCAACCCTAGTAAAAATACTTCAGTACGAGCTTCATTTGACGCCTTGGTCCCTTGAGGTTGGCAGCGTACCGACAGGTGCGTAAAATCCGGCCTGACTGATTCTCGTTGAACCCGTGAATGTTGGAAATACACGACTACATTACTAAAAAATAAGTATATTGTATATTTGAAACTCGGATGTTGAGCCATAAATAAATGTGGAAGAGAAAAGGACATATGGATACGAGTTAAGAGTAACTCTCCATCACTGTAACATGATACTATATACAGTCAGAAAGTGCAATAACTAGGCACAAAACTGACAGAGTACTGAAACATTCGACGTCCTGACACCTAGCTTCAACACATCTCCGTAGCGCTAACCGACAGCCTTCCAACTTGGAAGGTTCAAGGTTATGGAAAAGACCAAAGAGGGGAAGGCAAGCGCAACGAAAACGAGCAAAAGCTACAGTCCCAACGGAACAAAGAATGTCGATTGTTACTGGGCGATGACGAGACCAGTACGATATTTGACAAAGCGGTCTAACTACAATTCGAAGCAGCAAAGCAGCACACCACCCAACTTGGGTGGGTCATAAATATCAAAGATAAGTAAAGAAAGGGAAGCTTTGCGAAAACGAATTGTACAAGCCGAAAGCCAAACTCCTACAGTACTCCTCATGCATGACATTGTGATGGACTAGTTGACTACAAAACAAGTTGTTTCACACGACGTACGTTTCGCCGTATGGTTCGTGACGGCTCATCAGGTGTGCAATTTGAAACTCGGATGTTGAGCCATAAATAAATGTGGAAGAGAAAAGGACATATGGATACGAGTTAAGAGTAACTCTCCATCACTGTAACATGATACTATATACAGTCAGAAAGTGCAATAACTAGGCACAAAACTGACAGAGTACTGAAACATTCGACGTCCTGACACCTAGCTTCAACACATCTCCGTAGCGCTAACCGACAGCCTTCCAACTTGGAAGGTTCAAGGTTATGGAAAAGACCAAAGAGGGGAAGGCAAGCGCAACGAAAACGAGCAAAAGCTACAGTCCCAACGGAACAAAGAATGTCGATTGTTACTGGACGATGACGAGACCAGTACGATATTTGACAAAGCGGTCTAACTACAATTCGAAGCAGCAAAGCAGCACACCACCCAACTTGGGTGGGTCATAAATATCAAAGATAAGTAAAGAAAGGGAAGCTTTGCGAAAACGAATTGTACAAGCCGAAAGCCAAACTCCTACAGTACTCCTCATGCATGACATTGTGATGGACTAGTTGACTACAAAACAAGTTGTTTCACACGACGTACGTTTCGCCGTATGGTTCGTGACGGCTCATCAGGTGTGCAATTTGAAACTCGGATGTTGAGCCATAAATAAATGTGGAAGAGAAAAGGACATATGGATACGAGTTAAGAGTAACTCTCCATCACTGTAACATGATACTATATACAGTCAGAAAGTGCAATAACTAGGCACAAAACTGACAGAGTACTGAAACATTCGACGTCCTGACACCTAGCTTCAACACATCTCCGTAGCGCTAACCGACAGCCTTCCAACTTGGAAGGTTCAAGGTTATGGAAAAGACCAAAGAGGGGAAGGCAAGCGCAACGAAAACGAGCAAAAGCTACAGTCCCAACGGAACAAAGAATGTCGATTGTTACTGGACGATGACGAGACCAGTACGATATTTGACAAAGCGGTCTAACTACAATTCGAAGCAGCAAAGCAGCACACCACCCAACTTGGGTGGGTCATAAATATCAAAGATAAGTAAAGAAAGGGAAGCTTTGCGAAAACGAATTGTACAAGCCGAAAGCCAAACTCCTACAGTACTCCTCATGCATGACATTGTGATGGACTAGTTGACTACAAAACAAGTTGTTTCACACGACGTACGTTTCGCCGTATGGTTCGTGACGGCTCATCAGGTGTGCAATTTGAAACTCGGATGTTGAGCCATAAATAAATGTGGAAGAGAAAAGGACATATGGATACGAGTTAAGAGTAACTCTCCATCACTGTAACATCAGGGCCTGCTGGAGAGCCGGGTCAGCCGGGTCACGCGCCCGGCTGGGGAACTGCACGACCTGGCTGAACAGATAACACCGGGTCCAGTCTGACCCGGCTGAAAAATGTCTCAAACTGACAATGGATTCCTAAAATACGGGTGTTTTACGACTCGCGGACCCCATCTGTTGCAAATCTAGCGCAACCGTACACCATGGTAGATCTACACACTACAGTCTACAGTCTACAAGCGACAGAAACTCGGCTAGGGTCAACTGGTTCGAGCGCGATCTGGCCAGCGGCGAGCAGGAAGTCAGGACATTCAAAGTCGATGAGGCAGGCAGTCAAAAGCGTAACTTTGGCTATAGCTTTTGACACAGTGGCAAGTTTTCAGCCGATTGGTGATTTGGACGATGGAGCCCGCAGCGAAGAGAAAAAGAACTCACGCTTTCCAAGACTCTTGGAAGAAAGGTCGACCCTGGCTGGACTACGACCATGCCAGTCTACTAGTATCCATGTCATGCGCTTTGTGCAAGACGCATTTCCAAAGAAAGACGAGCGGCGGTGGATTTGGTCGCGAGGAAGCAGCCACTCCACAAGGTGCTGCAGGCACCCCCCAGTGCTCTAATATGTGAACATGTTCGTCCTGCTAGGCTGCTACTACTTAGTACTAGTACTAGTACTAATTAGTAATTGGAAAACAGAATTCCTTTTTTTCAAATTGTTAAATCAGAATCCAATGGAACTGCTTTGCATTCTTCACGTAATGTCGTTTACCTTCTACGTTTGCGGACTTTGATCGTTCGCCTTGTTCTCTAAAATGTCCGATTTCCGGCACTAAATTCGCCTTTCTGTTTTCCTGCGTTTTAAGCAGGCCTTTTGGTTGTTTTTCTGCCGGATAATCTGACCCGGCTGGCCTGCATGCGCCAGGTACACTCTGACCGGGCTGTGTTGAATGTCTAGAGCAGGCCCTGAACATGATACTATATACAGTCAGAAAGTGCAATAACTAGGCACAAAACTGACAGAGTACTGAAACATTCGACGTCCTGACACCTAGCTTCAACACATCTCCGTAGCGCTAACCGACAGCCTTCCAACTTGGAAGGTTCAAGGTTATGGAAAAGACCAAAGAGGGGAAGGCAAGCGCAACGAAAACGAGCAAAAGCTACAGTCCCAACGGAACAAAGAATGTCGATTGTTACTGGACGATGACGAGACCAGTACGATATTTGACAAAGCGGTCTAACTACAATTCGAAGCAGCAAAGCAGCACACCACCCAACTTGGGTGGGTCATAAATATCAAAGATAAGTAAAGAAAGGGAAGCTTTGCGAAAACGAATTGTACAAGCCGAAAGCCAAACTCCTACAGTACTCCTCATGCATGACATTGTGATGGACTAGTTGACTACAAAACAAGTTGTTTCACACGACGTACGTTTCGCCGTATGGTTCGTGACGGCTCATCAGGTGTGCAATTTGAAACTCGGATGTTGAGCCATAAATAAATGTGGAAGAGAAAAGGACATATGGATACGAGTTAAGAGTAACTCTCCATCACTGTAACATGATACTATATACAGTCAGAAAGTGCAATAACTAGGCACAAAACTGACAGAGTACTGAAACATTCGACGTCCTGACACCTAGCTTCAACACATCTCCGTAGCGCTAACCGACAGCCTTCCAACTTGGAAGGTTCAAGGTTATGGAAAAGACCAAAGAGGGGAAGGCAAGCGCAACGAAAACGAGCAAAAGCTACAGTCCCAACGGAACAAAGAATGTCGATTGTTACTGGACGATGACGAGACCAGTACGATATTTGACAAAGCGGTCTAACTACAATTCGAAGCAGCAAAGCAGCACACCACCCAACTTGGGTGGGTCATAAATATCAAAGATAAGTAAAGAAAGGGAAGCTTTGCGAAAACGAATTGTACAAGCCGAAAGCCAAACTCCTACAGTACTCCTCATGCATGACATTGTGATGGACTAGTTGACTACAAAACAAGTTGTTTCACACGACGTACGTTTCGCCGTATGGTTCGTGACGGCTCATCAGGTGTGCAATTTGAAACTCGGATGTTGAGCCATAAATAAATGTGGAAGAGAAAAGGACATATGGATACGAGTTAAGAGTAACTCTCCATCACTGTAACATGATACCATATACAGTCAGAAAGTGCAATAACTAGGCACAAAACTGACAGAGTACTGAAACATTCGACGTCCTGACACCTAGCTTCAACACATCTCCGTAGCGCTAACCGACAGCCTTCCAACTTGGAAGGTTCAAGGTTATGGAAAAGACCAAAGAGGGGAAGGCAAGCGCAACGAAAACGAGCAAAAGCTACAGTCCCAACGGAACAAAGAATGTCGATTGTTACTGGACGATGACGAGACCAGTACGATATTTGACAAAGCGGTCTAACTACAATTCGAAGCAGCAAAGCAGCACACCACCCAACTTGGGTGGGTCATAAATATCAAAGATAAGTAAAGAAAGGGAAGCTTTGCGAAAACGAATTGTACAAGCCGAAAGCCAAACTCCTACAGTACTCCTCATGCATGACATTGTGATGGACTAGTTGACTACAAAACAAGTTGTTTCACACGACGTACGTTTCGCCGTATGGTTCGTGACGGCTCATCAGGTGTGCAATTTGAAACTCGGATGTTGAGCCATAAATAAATGTGGAAGAGAAAAGGACATATGGATACGAGTTAAGAGTAACTCTCCATCACTGTAACATGATACTATATACAGTCAGAAAGTGCAATAACTAGGCACAAAACTGACAGAGTACTGAAACATTCGACGTCCTGACACCTAGCTTCAACACATCACAATGTCATGCATGAGGAGTACTGTAGGAGTTTGGCTTTCGGCTTGTACAATTCGTTTTCGCAAAGCTTCCCTTTCTTTACTTATCTTTGATATTTATGACCCACCCAAGTTGGGTGGTGTGCTGCTTTGCTGCTTCGAATTGTAGTTAGACCGCTTTGTCAAATATCGTACTGGTCTCGTCATCGTCCAGTAACAATCGACATTCTTTGTTCCGTTGGGACTGTAGCTTTTGCTCGTTTTCGTTGCGCTTGCCTTCCCCTCTTTGGTCTTTTCCATAACCTTGAACCTTCCAAGTTGGAAGGCTGTCGGTTAGCGCTACGGAGATGTGTTGAAGCTAGGTGTCAGGACGTCGAATGTTTCAGTACTCTGTCAGTTTTGTGCCTAGTTATTGCACTTTCTGACTGTATATAGTATCATGTTACAGTGATGGAGAGTTACTCTTAACTCGTATCCATATGTCCTTTTCTCTTCCACATTTATTTATGGCTCAACATCCGAGTTTCAAATTGCACACCTGATGAGCCGTCACGAACCATACGGCGAAACGTACGTCGTGTGAAACAACTTGTTTTGTAGTCAACTAGTCCATCACAATGTCATGCATGAGGAGTACTGTAGGAGTTTGGCTTTCGGCTTGTACAATTCGTTTTCGCAAAGCTTCCCTTTCTTTACTTATCTTTGATATTTATGACCCACCCAAGTTGGGTGGTGTGCTGCTTTGCTGCTTCGAATTGTAGTTAGACCGCTTTGTCAAATATCGTACTGGTCTCGTCATCGTCCAGTAACAATCGACATTCTTTGTTCCGTTGGGACTGTAGCTTTTGCTCGTTTTCGTTGCGCTTGCCTTCCCCTCTTTGGTCTTTTCCATAACCTTGAACCTTCCAAGTTGGAAGGCTGTCGGTTAGCGCTACGGAGATGTGTTGAAGCTAGGTGTCAGGACGTCGAATGTTTCAGTACTCTGTCAGTTTTGTGCCTAGTTATTGCACTTTCTGACTGTATATAGTATCATGTTACAGTGATGGAGAGTTACTCTTAACTCGTATCCATATGTCCTTTTCTCTTCCACATATTGTATATTGGTAGTGATACTGCCGACATGCATGCCAATGATTTCACAGCATGTATGTGCGCCATAGTGTTAACAATAATAAAACAACGGTCGTGTTGGTTAAGTGCATGGTTGACCGGCCACCCCCAAACTCACTGTACCACTGGTTGACTGACCCCTGTCCACAATGATTGAAACTTGAAAGATCCGATCAGCTAGAAATTCTTCTGGAAAATCATGGATCTTATCATGCTGGCATATTGCCGTTGGGCTGTGTTTGACCCATGGTGTATTGGTGGGTTGTGTAATTGTGCAGGAAAGCAACCCTCTCTTCAAGAGTCCAACACAAACATTTGTCAACCCTGACTACAAGGGACAGCCAGGTTCCTCCTAAGCGCTGGAAATGCTGCATGACCAAAGATAGATCTGGCTTGGCAAGCCATGCGTGCAGCAGCGCATGCAGTCTACCGACACCAGATACTGCAGGAATAGCAGTGCATGCCATGCTTGCAACGTATACAGCAATAGAACCAAGCCAGCCAGGTGTTGCTGATGTCATAGCTACTCATGGTGCACTTGTGCTGTCACACATCATGACCATGACCATGTAGCTGCTGTTATGCCGTCCTATTTCTCACACATGCCGCTGCACACTTTTTTTTAAACGCTCATGAATGATGCACGTCAAACGTACCTGTGAACGCATGCTATTGGTGCCGCCATGGTGACATTGTCCTCTGCGGACGTCACTTGCTGGTCACATGGTGAGGCACCTCGCATATTCATTTCTTTTCCGTATGTCATGAGCCCCAGTTGCATGGCCATGGCTCTCTCCACCACCACTGTTCTGAACCCACCTTATGCATATCATGTATGCCTCCATACACCAGCTTTAGTAGGACACTGTACTCTTGGATTTCTCCTAGGTGCTAGATTGGATTATTGAGTAGTAGCTGTTCTAGTTAGTGTCATCGATCACTGATCACGATGGCATAGCGTTTGGCACTTCAAAGAGCCCATCTTCATGTTTTCAGGTGCCCACTTTTGTAGCTACATGTATCTAACCATATTCAGAATTTCTTGGCTCAGCATCACTGCTGTTTTTAATGCATTCCTATTACATGTTCAGACCTTTCATTCATGTCGCTGACCTCATTACGATTTTAAGCGAAAATTTGCGCCATGCATATGTGGAATGGTCCTTGTCACTTTGTGTGTACTGTGCGTATCATTTCCTACCTCCTAACGCCTGTGCCTGATTCCTAGACAGAGGCAGAGAGAGAGAGAGACAGAGACAGAGACAGAGACAGAGACAGAGACAGAGACAGAGACAGAGACAGAGACAGAGACAGAGACAGAGACAGAGAGAGAGAGAGAGAGAGAGAGAGAGAGAGAGAGAGAGAGAGAGAGAGAGAGAGAGAGAGAGAGAGAGAGAGAGAAAGTTACATTTATAAAGACAGGTAAGTCTAACAAATGAGGACTGAGACCTCTACAACAGGGTTTTTACGCCTGAAAGCAGGTGCATGATTTAACAAGCAGATTGTCAGTCTAGATTTTATGCGCAGATGGAGAAAAAGCGCAGAATTTTTGTGAGGGAGGGAGGGAGGGGGAGAGAGAGAGAGAGTCGATTATCCGCTTTGTCTTAGTTGTGACCCTGGACAATGACGTTGATGCAAGGCATTAATATACGAGGAAGAAAGATAGATCAGGGCTGTTCCTAGATCCCCCTCATGGTCAAACGCACGTACTCCTACGGCCAAAGAGTGTGCCTGAAAGAAACCATTGAAGACTAAATCACACAAGTAACTTGTTAGTGCATGTACTGAACCGATGATCTCTCCTGTCCATTATTTTCTGACAAACAAACTAAGTACTTCCATTCCGAGGCCTGGTTCTGATCGCATGATTTCCCTCTATCCTCTCTACGGTGAGCCAGGGGTTAAGTATATAATAAATGTAGAGCCGAAGGATTTATTGCAATTACATACCAGTATAAAAACCGAGGTCCCCCGGGGTTTTATAACTTGTATGGAATTGCAATAAATCCTGAGGCTACTACATTTATTATACATATGTTGACCTTCACTTTCCCTAAAAAGGAGTATTTTATAAACAGTATTTATTGGCCTTAGTGGTATTTTATAAACAGTATTTATTGGCCCAAAAGCCAATAAATACTGTTTATAAAATACCACTAGGCCAATAAATACTGTTTATAAAATACTCCTTTTTAGGGAAAAGTGCAGTGCTGCATGGAAAAGTACAGTGGTATTTATTGAGTCAAGCAAATTTATTTGAATTTGATACTGTTGATGGTGTGGTCACTAATGAGTGTGGGTATTTATCAAAGGTCAATATATTTACATGTACCGCAATCTCGCGCATTTAGGGACATGTTCTTATTTTCGAATATACATGTAAGAGCACTCTAGCTTATAAGAACATGCACTAATAAGTGAATGAAAATCACAAAACAACACGAGGTTCATCATGGTTCCATTGTACTGGCATTCACCAATAATATGCGCACTTGCACATGAACATGTCAATGCGATGTTTTTGTCTCGCATAATAAGACCATGGTCTTATAATCAAACGAAAATGCACTTACATGTAGGAAAGAACCCCAAACAGCGACTTTTCGATTATACGACCATGGTCTTATAATTATGCGCGAGATTACGGTAATAAGAAGAAATGAGGACCAAGGAACTACAAGTTATGCTATAATGTCCACCAACACCACCAGTTACTTACAATCAGCTTGTAGTCAGCTCGTAGCTCCTTGGTCCTCATTTCTTCTTACGTAACAGGAAGCGTGAGTTTCGAAGTCGGAAGAAATGTTGAATGGTCGCTGCTTGGATGACGACTACACCATGGCTTAGTGGTAGAGCATCGCTGGCCATAAGCAAGGGTCCTTAGAAGTTAGTTCGACTCCTGGTGTGACAGTCCGGGCCCGAGGGGGGGGGGGGGGGGGGTGGGCAGTCAATATTTTCTTCAGACTTTTCCCGTTTGCATCTTTCCCTCAAACAATGAATATTACATGTAACATGTAACATGTAACGAGTTCCAAGGTAATATTAATGTGAAGAAGGTGGCTGATCCGAACACTTCAACTCGCGCTTCCTGCGGCATCGACAGACTTTACAGTCAAGTCAAGAGTGAAGTGTCAAGTAAGTCAGCAGAAGGTGCGAGTTCCAAAGTTTAGAGCAGCCACCTTTGGCCGATTATTAGACATTGACCCGTGTCATTCTCAACCCTTATGACAAAATCATTTCTACTCAGGCAGGCGGGGTGAAACAGATTCACTTCGCGGACCGTGATGACTGTATTGTATACTCCCCGTTATCAGGGCGACATTTCTAAGTGATTGCAGCGCGCTCAGCAGGGGAGACCATCTAAGCAGTCCTCCTTCATTATCACCGCATGTGGTCCAGCAGCAACTAGCCCTGCAGCCCTCATGTACCACCATCAGACTGTCAGATGCCACATGCACTAATATGATCATGGCTATTAGCCTATTGCCGGCATATCGGACCACCTGCAGCATCTGTGACTACAGTACACTGTTCCATTGAGCACTGTTCTACCGTACTAAACGGTCTTCACTTGGTACTTGTGAGCCTTTTGATGGTGTTATCTATGGATCTGCGTTCTTTCGCCGCTTCTCTTGACTGCACGAAACTAGACACCTTCCAGCGAGAGTGAGGAATACATAATTATAACTATAATGATACTCAGCCTGTCTCCGGTCAGCCAGCAGTAACGTTATAAGCTATTTTATTTGGGAAAGTATTCGATTTGGGTATCTATTAGCATGGAAGGAAAGCTTACCAAACATCTTGCCGTTGATTAGAGCTGCTCTCTTCATCCCTGTACTACATTCTCAACCCGGCATCACCACTATGCCCTCTCAGCCAAACCAATGCAATGCACGAAGCATATACACACCAGCATAGCAAGGACACGGTTCCGTTGACAGATAATTGTTACGCCTCTAGACAGCTGTTTCGCTCCTTGGAGCTCATCAGCAGAGGATGATAATGATGACAATGGAGTGTAAAGGAATGGTCATTCTTATACAGCAGAAATGGTGCAAGTGCGCGCTTTCCACATAGAACATTGGCATAGTGTGCAAGCTGCTAAAATTAATGTGAGAATAATGTGAAGAGCTATTGTACGTGCTCATTGGTGGAGGAACACACCATACAGGCGCCGTAAACCTTACGCGGAAATAACACTACAACTGATTGCAATAAAGCGAGAATAATGATGCCACTGGAAGGTATACTGTGCGTATTGAGCTGATGGTACATTGTCCTTCTTGTGCAGGCGAGGCGAAACTCACTGCAGAGAGCTGCCAACGCGACAGGCTTGGTTGCCGTTCAGAATATACGCCTCCCTGTTCGCCCGTCCACGGGATCGATAGCGGGAGGCCTCACTGATGCCGATGTGCCCCACGAAACTGGTAGTCGCGAGTGCGATACTAGCAGGTCTGTATAAGAATGATCATTCCTTTACACTCCATGATTATCATCATGATCATCCTAATGCATTATTCGGTTCTTTGGGAAAAGGTTGGAGCACCCCCCCCCCCCCCCCCCCCTCATTCCAGATCCTGCGTACGCCCCTGGCAGTATTTAACTCCTCACCACCATGTACATGCATATGTTTGCCACATTAGTTCTGGAGCATGACCCATCATTCTCAAGAAAACGGCTCACCCATACGATGGGCCATGCCCGAACATTTGAGCGTAAAACCGGATGTTCCCTCTCTGAGAGTGTGCCAGTGGTGGACGCCTTCTACCTCAGTACTCACTTGGCATACTTTTGCTGTAACATGTTTTCAGTATGTGAGTTGTGTTCCAATCCTCCACTTTGGCAAATTGTGTGTTGTTCGCCCAGAAAAGAGGCGGTTATCATGATTGTAAAAAGATGTTCGCATTCAAGAGACCATTCTACTGTCTTCTTTTCATTTGTGTCTCCTTCTCCAAGTATCCTATACATGACGTAGTACTCGGACCTCATTCCCGGTCCTTGTCATTGGATCTGTTCAGTCCGTTCAGCTCACGAATTCAACAGGAAGAAGAGGATGAACAATGTGTTGACAAATGTGTTGTTTGTTGTTTAATACTCCGCGTTTTACGCACTAGGCGATCACCAGACAGCAGTTCTTGTTGTAAGTAAGTTGCCCTTCGACATTGAACACTCTACTAGACGGCCCGGAACCGCTCTGTTTTACAGCTTGCAAATTCAAATACACACAATCAGCCAACCTACGATAGTTGGGACTGAGTAATGCGGAAGTGGCTGTGGTGGAGTGAGTGATTCGAAACATTGCCCGATTGTTTTCTCAGGATGGGTAGACTCCACTACGATTATTGTAGCTCAGTCACCAACACCCCACTTACTGGTCTCTTCGCTACATTCGGAAAATAAAATAAAATAATAACCAGTATGTCGGCCCTGTGCCATTCATGATCAGGACACCAGAACTTTGCAGCTTAGAGAGCGTGTGTGGGTAGGCGTGTGTTTACCGCCATATTGCCAGGTGTGTCTTTACCACCATATTTATCAACCATAGGATATAAAGCAGAGACCAGTAAATGGCGGAGTACCGGTATTAGTAACATTGGAACTTCCCTACCTACATGTACACGGTGTGGGTAATCAGTTCCAATGTTGGCTCAGTATTCAAAGCTGGAGAATGCGAAGGCTGATATCTGCCTTGTTCCAGTTTTCAGGGCCGAGGCGAGCCGGATGAATATCACGCCATGTATACAAAAATCCACGTGGAGATGAAAGTTTGATAAAATATATGAAAAGTACTCAATCTGCGGATATGAAAAGTATGAATGCCGCAGACATCACCACGCAACATGACAATTTGTTCAAGATAAAAATTATCCAGAATCGATTTTCAAGCTCCGATCATCAGTGGAAATACGGAACTAAAGTGATAACAACTCAGATGCACAAACAACTCAGATGGTGAGCCAAGGAAAAAATTGTAACATGGACTTGAAAATGTGGGCACAGACACACACACAATCAGTACATGCAGCACAAAGCTGACAAGGAGTACGGAGACATTCCACCGTCAGCTTGAGCACTGCTCGATAGCGCTAACAAGCGGCCTTCCAACTTGGAAGGTTCATGGATACTGAATTGTCCTCCCTGTTACTTTGCAACCT